TAGAGTAAAGAAGTATATTTATATGGAAGTGTATTAATCGGTGTATGTATTGGTACCTTAGTGTCGTGGGGTGAGGTGTGACGTGTATAATGTTAGGTCGATACGCACAAATTTTTAATGTAGAGTACGAGTGGTCGTTCGTTTACTGATTGCGGGCGAGTGTCTCGTCTTGTTCGTGGACATACATTCCATAAACACGTCGCGATTAAGGCCCTTATTATGAAATGAGTCTCTAATAAGTATAAGGCTACATTCAGAAATTATTCAATTCTGTAATTGGTCTTGATATTGAAATTTGAGCAAACTAAATTTTTCAGTTATTGGCGTTTGCGCCAATTTCAGCAAATTTTTCAGTTATTGGCGTTTGCGCCAATTTCAGCAAAAATACTGAAGGGATTTGTCAAAGTAACATTCGTGACTATTTTAATTTCGAAATCGCTTCACAGAGCGAAGTAACTAGAACTAGGTACATACAAAAATGCTGGAGCGAAGCGATTTCGGAATTACAATTTCCATGTTTGTAACTTTGTCTAGAGGGCATCCATGAATTTTTGGGACACCGCGACATTTTGCAATAAAGATGAGACACTTCCCCGCGACATTATTACAGCAGCTGGGCGTATGTCAACAGCAGTCGCCCAGCGCACGAGTCAGTGTCAAACTAGGGTATTTGATCCTTTTGAAGTATTTTTAAGGAACCTGAGCTTTGCCGCGTGGCGTTTAACGCCTACATCATACCTAACAACAATCAATAATATAATTTGGACCTTATTGATAACTGCATTAAGTACTAAAAGATGTTATTGCATTTGAGCAATAGAGACTTTTATATCTCCGTCATTTAATGATAGATTTCAACACATGAAACTGTATTTCTGACAGTCAGATATAAAAGTGTCCATAATACTGCGTGATTGTAACAGATTTGACTAATTTACTAAAACAAACGTGTCACCAATAGGTTCTAAAATCTAGTCATTATTTCGTATAGATTAGTAGATGTTTGTCTTAATATTAACCTGATGTGGGTCCGACTAGAAAAGCGAAACGGTAAATATCTTAGCATTCTCTCTCATAGTTACTATTTTTACTTAGGGTCTAATTCATCTTGTAAGTAGGATACCGAAAAATGTGTTTTATAAATATTGGCGCTTAAGTCGTACTTCTTTTTTTGTAAAAAATCTTAGTAATATTTATTATTGCACATAATGTTCCCGTTAACCCCTCCAGCTAAGCAAAATACATGCTTGTGTTAGGAGTGGGATCACCACAATAGTCCAGCGGACAGCGGACTTCTCGAATCGGCAGTCTGACACTAACACCTTTGGGCTTTTGACACCATAATTCTTCCTACTGTATTGTATTATCACTCAATCGTCTTTGTTTTTTTGTTAATTTCCAAAATCACTGTTTCTATATTTTGTGCGTCATTTAATATTTATTTGTTAACACGTGCTTAGCGTCCATTTTATAAAACATACTATCTAGTGGCCATCGTATTAACTACCGTATTTATTAGTGTTGTAAGATTGACAATAAGTTTATCACGATGTAAGTTTACATTTCCCGTTATCGTTTCGTTTTTGCTAGTGATGTCGAAGCGTTATATCGATAACATTGTGTGTACCTAGTATTAGTGTTATTCGGAACCAATCCTCGTTGTTTATTAGGAATGAGTTGATATGAGTTCTGTGACCAAGTTATAGATAAAAGGCCTAAGTTGCATAGTGAGACGGCTGAGAGATGGTACGGGCACCTCGTGTCTTCTCTTTCATGTTCATATAGATGAAAAAGGAGCAGTGTCAGTAGATAAGGTACCGTTAGCATCTTAGCCCGCGTAGCGTTCAGTAGACTAGTTGGAGATAGATTGTTGTTCATTTGTATTACATTAGAGTATTTAGGCTTTGTATTAACAAATGTTTTAACGATCTTAACGGATGGAACTTATTTTGAAATTAATATATTCCAAGTAAAGTTTAGCGCACTTATTAGGTACCTAGTTGTTCAGAGCCCGTAGTCGGTACATATTCGAAATTGACGCTTACGAAATGTATTTATAATATTTTAATGTTTATATTCCATAGAATAGGGGTTAATAAGAAGATATTACCCTACGTAGGCGATTTGAACAATAAATACATTTTAAAACAATATAGAGCGTTTTTATGTACAAAATTTTATTGAAGATTGTTGTAAATTTTTGCGTTTGGTCAATATATTTATAAACATATACCTGTTTTGTTATGTGTAATAATTTATAACACCAAATCGTACCTTTTCATATTTGTAATAACTATATTTTATGCAGAAAATGTAAGCAGTGTGTAGAGATTTTGTTGAATAAATGTCATGTTTCGAATTCGGCTGTTTTATTTACTTTTTTCCCGTATAGCTAATATCGATCGCTATGAGAGCAGAACTATCTGCAGAACACTGTTCTTTTGGGAACCAAACACAAGTTCGACTCTTTCTTAGAGATTGTAAAGAACTATGAGAAAACACATTAAACAGTGACTTTTGGGCATATTTCAAGGAATCAAGATCGAGATGAAAAGCAAGATCGTGACCTAAAAAATAATCCTCAATTAGGGTTACCAGATGAAAAAAAATTCCGGAGAAAATGCATTATGCAAGATTTTCATTGAAAAATCATGATTTTATTGCAGTTCAAGAAGTTTCTATAAAACGTACTGAAAAATTAAAGTCACATTAGTATTGTTTTTATACTGAGGATTTCAGGGTAAAAATGCTCGCTTATAGCCACTTGGATAAATGCGTTAATTTTAATTGTCCAATTACTCAAGTTAGGAAGACTTTTTTTTATTTGTTTAACTTTATATTATAGAAATCCTTAAAATGTACTGTACCTATTTCATTATAAATTCTAAAAATCCTGAGGTTTACAAAATCCTACCGCAATTCTGACCCTGAGAACAGTCCAAAAATCTCAGGACAAATCTTGAGTGGTAACCCTATCCTCAATCCGCCAAAGCGCGCATTTTATTAGACATACAAGTGAAATGTAAGAATTTATAACTCGCCCGGACGGGTCAAGTGTCAACATGTCAATAGCTCGCCAACACTTCACGCGCCGTAAATTCTGATAGCGTTCTGACTTGATCGTAAACATCTTCCGCCATTTTGTGAGCCTGGGAGTCCACTTCAAGCGAACAAGCCTTTTAATTATGGGTGAACATGTTTACTGTTTTTTCGTTGTAAAAGGATACCATCTAGCTCTCGTGTTGTTTTCTGTGCCAATTTTAGGGGCTTTATGCATGTTATAATCTGTGCTACGAGCTGGAACCAATATAAAGAGCTTTTATAAAACACATCCTATATAGGACTAGAAACAGACACTTATTAGTGTAGACATGCCCTTATCTTGATGATAGGTCTGAAGTATCGTCACTTCAGAGACAAAATGAAAGGTAAAAAGCCTTTTTATTGTAAAAGGTTGGAAAAAAATATTTGAATTTTACGGAATGATAAAAGAAGCTGTGTAGTTTTATGAGGCATCTCATAAACTAAACTACTAAACCAGTGTCAATAAAATTAATGTTTTCGGCACACATGTTGTTCACAAATAAATTATAATTAGGTAAAACTTGGTGGGATATCGTTAACTCTGTGTTATTTTTACCTAGAATTCTTAGAAAAACATGCGACGCTATTTTTAACTTCATTCTGTTTGTTATTTAGCTTTACTAGGTCACATTAAGTAGTTATAAATATGGAAGATGGAAGTACATTGGGAGGTCATGGAGGGGTATAGATGGAGTTGAAAAATGATCGCTTTAAACTTAGAGGACCTAGCTTTTGTAATGTCCAATTTTATGCACTGGACCGCAAAGACAACTAAAAAAAATTAAAACTTATTCTTTTTAATAAGCATAAATGTTGTTTTTTATCGATAAGAGATAATATTTAATCCATAGTCACTCTAACATCAACCGATGGCGATGACCAAATGACCAATAAAAACGTTAACGGATTCGGCGAGCATTACACGAGCCGTTATTCGTAATGGTTTGTGCACAAAATGTGCGAACATAAAGTTCGCAAGATCCTCGCGTCACCCGTAACGTTAATATTAATTGGTCGTAAAGTACTTGATGGGGTGAAGAGTGCTTTTGTATCTACCCTAAATGTGAATGCTTATTTTGTGTAAAAATCTTGCTAAAATTATTTGTTTACTGTTTTAAGTTAGATAACCATTAGGTCATTTGATATGCCTACTCGTAAAAAGGTAGAGTTAATCGACGAGAATTAAAATACATTTTATTGTATTAAATTAAAAAAGTGTGATCAACTCAGTGTTGTCGATTGGATACATTATAAAAATCAATCATTTGCAATATCAATGAGTGGTGAACCTCTATATTAATTTATTACATCAGGAAAAAAAAGAAAACAAGTAGGAATAAATTACTAGTGCTTGGTGGGGTATAGCGCTGAAAATACAGTGATATTTCCTTGTTTTGAAGTTATTACGTAAAATAAGTAACCGTAGTTAAATCGTAGTTATGAACTTTGAAAGAAATTGGACACGTTGTAAATAAATAGGTACTTATAGCTGAACCTGTTGCGCCGTATCTCTGAAACGGCGACTTTTCAGGTTTCAGTGTCAGCCAGCTAGTGTTCCGTCGACGCGGGCCCGGGCGGACGCTTGATGCTCTCGGGATTTTGGGCGCGAATCTACGCAATCGTGATCATCTGAAAACTGATTTTAATTCTTTTTATTTTTAGATTTTTCAATGTGAATATTTAAAAGAAAAAAAAATACCTAGGTACCTACCATGCAAAAATGGTCATGCTATGCTGCTATGTTACACATTTTACGAATTTTCATTGATTTAATTTGAATCACAAAAACACTGGCTGGATTTAAATAAAAAATAAGAACTAATCAAAAAGTTTGGTTCATGGAAAAGAAACACATTCTGCGCTCTACGCATATTTTATCTGTGAAAAACAAGTGACGGTTTCCCGCGCGTTTGAAAATGAATTTTCTGGTTGCGTCGTGGTGGTGGCTGGTGATACCGGTGCTGCAGGGGTCTGTGGGGCACACGGTGTATAAAGTGGGAGTGCTGATGGCTTCAAGATTGGACTCGCCTTTTGATTTGGAGCGGTGCGGGCCGGCGGTCGACCTCGCTCTCGACAAGGTGAACGATCGGTTCCTAGCGCATCATGGGGTTCAGCTCCAGAAGGTGCAGGGAAGGTAAACATTTTTTTACTAAAAGTCATTTTTTGCCGATGTTGTGTTTTTGTGATGTTTCAGGATTAGGCAATGGAAAGTGAGAAGAAAAGTATGATTATAAGACCTTTCCCCAACAATGATGTGTACCTATTGAGATTTTTAATACGCTAATTGTTTGATTAATAAGACACATTGTAAGTATTTGAGAAATGGCAATGCCAGATTTTGTATGGAAGGTGGCGTCTTTTTTTTTTCGCGCGGCCATCGACCAAACTTTGTTTTTTGATTACAAAATAGTGTAATAAATCAAACTTACTATGGCATGTATACCTCTAAACTCAGTCGGAACTGAGTTACGAGCATTAGAAGTTTGATGATTTTCATACTAGATTTGCTTTTTGCGCGCAAGTTTTGTAAGAAATTGCAACAAAATATTGCGCTATTTTTTTATTGCGCTGATTCTGCTGCATACTGATGTCTGGAGCCTTTAATGGGTGGTATTGTTTGTTCACACATACAATGTCACCATTTTGTTGCAATTTCAAAAAAAAAAGACGCCAATTTCTGGCATTGTCTTTTTTAAGTGATCTTGCACTGGTTTGTTTAATTTAATTTCGTAGATGGCATACATTTACGTAAATTATAATTTAAATACGTAGCAAAGAAACTGAAACGTCCACGGACAGGGTCGCGAGAAAAGGCTATAGTCTCTAACCCGACCTTCTTACGTAATAAAGTTATTAACTATTTTCGGCAAAGGACTTTGAAGTAGTTCAAATTCTTACGTACATCCTTTCTGTAGCAGGTAGGCAGTTTGTTGAATAAATAATGATATTCAGCAGTTGTCTAAATAACTGAAGACAGAAAATAAAGTAAAATCTTCAGTATTTCCAGTTAGGTTCTTTAAGAAAAATCTCGGTCGTTGTGGAAATATTTAGTTGAGGCCTTTTTCGTGCTTTAGTCGTGGGCGTAATTTGGCTGAATCGTACGAAACATTCATTTTAAACTTATTTATCAAAATCAAAGTTTCCTTAACAATCGGTTTTGTAAATATTAACTTAGATGTTCATAATGGCTCTTCAATTTCATTTTCGAGAAAGGACTGTCATAGTTTGACAAGTAATCAAATAGCGAAGGCAGGGCCGAATTTACCATAAAATGGCTTTTTGGGCTTCAGCCCAGGGCCCCATGCATTCAAGGGGCCCCCAGCTAAGTCTAAGTCAAATAGACGATATTTTTTATTTCAATGTGTCTGGACAAACCTCAAGAGGATTTAAGACACTATTTAAATTAAAGATGTAATGGCTAAATAAATAAGGTGCAGCGTAAATAGAGGTCCAAAGCAAAAGGGTCGATACACTGTACACTGAGGTACCATGTTTATTTATTTATTTATATAATTCACTGTGTGTGAATTTATATATCAGTATTTAAAAAAATATGTTAAATGTTGTTCAAAAAGTAAAGGTAAAGTCAACCGATTTGCTAGTAGGTAGTGAGTATAAAACTTCGAAACAAACTTGTTTATTAAAATTCAGTTTGTTAAAAAAATTATTGGAATACTTAGTTAATACATAAATGTAATCAAATTTGTAACACAAGGTACCAATTTAAAAAAAATGTTTTTGAACAACCTGTTTTTTTTTTCAATTTTTGTATGTGGTTCCTTAGTGTACAGTGTATCGACCCCTTTGCTTTGGACCTCTATATGTAATATTAAATAAAAATAATAATTACGAAAGAGTGTAACAGGTGGGCCCCTAAGTAGTATTGGTCCAGGGCCCCTTAAACTCACGGTCCGGCCCTGAGTGAGGGTTCTTAGAAGTACCTTCCGGTTGGGTGGGAGATGCTGCTCCCAGATTGTAACTTCATACTTTCATTAGGCAAAATTCGATTTAGGAATTTCAAGAAATTATAAAGCGATTGATTGATGGATACGAAATTCTATTAGCGATAAAATGATACGATGGAACTTGATTAATAAATCTAATCATAAAATACAAAGGACTAGTGCCTATAAATTGTAGTTCTTCAGAGAATTGGAAAATTCTAGACATTACATTGTCTATTAGATAAAGGAAAAATAACATAGCATACGAGTTTATTGTGAACAAAATTGCTCGCTAAAGCAATTTAGCCCTCAAGTTATTTAATAATAAAATATCATGCTGAACCAATAACGTACAATTTTGATATGGGTATATCGCTTATATCTAAAATTAATCATGGCTATGAAATAGCTTTCGAGATTTGGGATTAATTTGATAGAGCATGCAGGAACTGAGTTGGTTCGACAGAGTATACAATCCTAAATGAAGTCTGAAGGAAATGCCTGTTGTATTTCATAATAGGTGTAGGTGAACATTGATGGCAGGATGACGATAGCTTTTCCCAAATGTTTCTTTTTATATTTTCATAGTTTTGGGGTTTTACGAGCTGGCGTCCTAATGTAATGATACTCTATTTTATTATTATTCAAGGCACGTACGTAGTAGTAGGCAAGTACGATCTCTACACACAAGTTTAAATAACGTTTAGAGTAGTATGGACTTACTAAAATATCATCTGTCATTTCTGAAATACTGTGCGTATCCATTTCAGAGCGCCTCATCTATTTATAATATTCAAAGTGTAGACATTTTACAGCCATTCCTATTACCAACTGAACCTGAACACAATCTGTCTATAAAGTCTCTCAACGATAGCTATCAAAGATATAATGGAAAAAGTTATCTTAATTAAAGATTCAGCACCTGATAAGTTTTTGTTCATCGAAAGAAAGAAGTAATTAATTCTTCTGCAAGAGGCAACCTGTATTAATAGGACATAAAATACGAGTAATTACTCGTATTTTTGAAGAATAGATTTTGATAAGGAAAGGTGTAGTCGTTTTAAATCAATAGGTAAAGATTCTTATAAAATTCTTGGGAACAAAGGAAAAGGTTATCAAAAACTTAAGGAATTTAGACTTCGAAGTTGAAACTAGAGGAATTCCTTTCAGGAATATTTCAGGTCTCCCAAACTCATTCCAAACTGTAATGTAAAAATAACTCGGAGTCTGTCAAACAGAATGGTTTATCATAGAGAAATGATACAAAGAAATAAATACAAAAGTTTGTCTTTCATTTCGGGGCATTCGGGGGTTATAATGAAATCGAGTTACCATCTGAGTTCAATGTTAAGTTATGCCAACCTGCCTTACATACCTTGTATCAAACCATACACCTTTACGTTGCAAAATAGCATATATTCCAACTAAATAAGACGCTACAGTGTATTAGTTGATGTGCTGTGATCTGTATGCGCCACACAAATAAGCGATACACGTGGCTTGTTCGAATATTATTCCCCGGAATATGCCTCATAATAAATCAGGTATGTTGGAGATTACGGCTTAGAACAAGTTACTTAATAATATTATGTCGGTTCGCAGTTTATATTGTGATAGGCAAATTGAACCATTTATAATAGGGATGATTGGTATGTGTTATATTCAGATGTTATTTTTAGTTCAAAGTTTAAAATTTCCCCTTAGGTCCGCCATTGTTAAAATTAGTTTAAAGTTAAGTTTTGTATGGAAATGTAATTTTAAACTAGCGTTGTACGCACGTGTAATGTTATTATTAGTTAGTTAATGTAAAAGACTAAAATAACAATGTTTTTTGGTTACATAACTAAAACTGAGATTGTAGTAGCGTTTCTGTTAATTAATATTTGTTTATTTGAATCCAAATGATATATTCCTGTAAATATAGAGTTTTAATCGGTGATTTTACGCTATTTTTTTTAACATAGAACAGCCTTTGTCAAGCAGTGTATCATTTCAACAACTATGACTATGGCGATATCCTATGGCTAATCTATGAACCGTGGTCGTGATCAGACATACACCTCAAGCATAGTTATTAGGAGTTTTGCATACATATAAGATACATTTCAAAATATATTTTTTTAATTTAAGACCTGACACGCTAAGGCCTTTTCCAGGAGGGCGAATTCGCCGCGAATGTCTTCGCGCGAACACGAGCGTATGTATGATGCGATTTAAACGCGAATTTACAACTCGCGCGTGTCTTGTGGATGCAATGTATTGGCTGCTAAAGCCCGGTCCGTGAGCACGTAGAATTTTGTCCAATGACCCCAAGCTACCCATCCTTATCGCTCGCGCGTAATTATATTGCTGTCGCGACTGTGCGACGGGCGCCCGCAGTGAGTGTGCGAGCGCGATAGTAACATAATTACGCGCGAGCGATAAGGATGGGTAGCTTGAGGTCATTGGACAAAATTCTACGTGCTCACGGACCAGGCTTTAGTATCTCGCCAACGCGCGTAACGGTGAATTCGCCCTCCTGTACAAGGCCTAAAACAGTCTTTGTCCTCAGCTACCCGTCATGCTCCGGCGCAATCGCTCCAGGGCTGGCAGCGGACATGCACTTCAAGGATGACGTCATCGCGTTCGTGGGCCCTGCGTGTGCGTTCGCGCTCGAGCCTGTAGCACGGCTTGCTGCCTACTGGAACACCCCTATCATCACTGGGATGGGGGATCAGGTAAATAATGATAACATTTTATTACATAGGAATATTGTCATTGTTGTAAATGTGAGGTTTACAGAAATGACATTATACAGGTGACTTTGTTATCAGTAATCCAAATTTTAAGGAGCTACTCAGACTTTTATCGATTTACGTAAAGAAAACAATATATTATTTTCTTTCATATTTAATTATTTTCATCCGTTGCTCGCGGTTTCAAAATTGGCACACGTCGATAATTTGCTTCGTTCATAGAAAAATACGTACACACAGTTAACTGCAAAGCCTAATAGACATAATTGTACGGGAAAAATAAGTCTTTACCTTTAAAAATTAAGATATGATTTTCAATATTTTTTTTCTGTGAAAAGTAGGTACCACGATTAAAAATAATTAAGATAAAGTTGTATTGTTAAACTGTTCTATAGAGCATAATAAAAAATAATTGGATACTGATTACAAAAACACCCTGTATGCCAACAGCTTAGGCATATCGGGCTGCCTTCAAGAGCTAGTTTGACTGTCATTGAAACACTGACTATTGCGGCAAACGATCTATTTATTTAGCGTTCCTACTCTATAACTACGTCTGCGTCACTATGCGATGGTCAATAATGGATTAATTCATTTAGCGATCTGTAACAAGAATGCCTAATCTTTCTAAAATATCTCAGATGAAAAATCGTCATTAAAATTCTATTTTACGACCGCTGCCATAAGGCGTAGCTACTTACCGTACTTTTATGTCCAGTCATTCATATAAATATGAATGAGATTTATCGTGGCGTGGACTAAATAAAATTCAAGTTTTTTACCAGGTGGTTGTATGGTTGCCAAGCTGTATTTAGCAGTGCGATTCCATCTATAGCCTGACCAGGAACATAAAAACCCTCGCCATGTTGCGGAAAACTAATGGTACTAATTTCTTTTAATGGCAACAGTAACTGAAAACTTCATTGGCATGTCACCTTGCATGTCAGTCTATTGCTGTCAAAGTGTAAACAAATTTTATTTTAAATGTGCGCAATTGATTTTGTGAATTAAATTGCTAAAATCTTTTTATAGTCGTGAAAGAAAAGTGGTTCACAATGTGTTAAAGTATTTGTCGAAGAGAAATACTAAGGGTTCGGACAATATTTTCATTGAATAATTTTTCCGACAAGGGTGTCAAATTGACTGACATGTTTATCGTATAGTACAGTCCACTATGAAAATTAGCTGTGGTTTGTTTCAACTACCTATTTGAAAGTTTTTTGTCACTTTCTAAGTGTTGAATTTTATGGAATTGGGAAAGAAGTACCGAGTTTGAAGCGTTCATGAGCAGACATTGCAGTTGAATATTCAAGTTCTGAATTTGATTATTGATGAATAATAAAATAAATCCTACTAGCTCGATTGATATTTTCATTTAATTTATTTAAACCAGGTTACCTATAATAATATTTTTTCGTTAATTCATGAAAATATCAAATTAGCCCGTAATCCTAAATCCTGATATATAAAGTTAGCCTATTAATTTAACACAGGTACGACTGTACTCAGTGTTGCACTATCAAATGCAATTGACGCGCCTCTATGCCAGGGTTTTTATGTTCCTGGTCAGGCTATAATAAATTGATTCAACATGTCTAATAAATAATATTAGCAAACACAAGGCGATTAACTTTGAACAATAATGATTTATCGATATTTCAATACACGTGTACCCACTTTCCTCTAGTGCTTGAATTTCGGAATTTACCGGCAATACCGAATTAAGCCGATTAATGAATGGGATGTTTGAATAAGAAGCAGTTAGTATAATTAACCTTGATGATGTTTACCGTGGTTCAAAGTTTGTAAACAATGCTTGGAACATAAGCGTTCTCCAGTATTGATTTCGGTTCAAGATAGTTACTTAATAATTTCCTTTAAATTTTAATGAAACTCATAAAACTAATTTATTTTTGTAAGTAGGCTTTTAAAAACACTTTTACACGTCCCAGTATTAACCCTGCCACTGTTTCGGGACAATAAATGAACCAGTGCTGAGAAGAAGCAGCGCAAGAAACTCAGTCACTATTGTCAGTCTAGCTAGGTATATCATTATCCTTTACATGTAGTATCTGCCTAACACTCCAGTCTCAGTCATGAATGTAAAACAACTAAAAATAGACAACATGTTTGTGATCCTTACAAAATATTAATTTTCCCAGCAGCGATTTGCACTCATACCATTCCTATCCTATTGCTAGTTTGGGATGTAATAGCCCTATTGTCTCACATGGCCCATGTAACGGCCTTTATTTACATTCGTTGCCATTATATTCAAAGCATTTTGTTCCAAAAGCTTCAGTTTGCAAGCTCACCTCACGTACAGCCTTGTCCGTTGACCTAAGATTAAAGAAATATTTGACTGGTCAAACAGTAAAGTGATTTCACGATCGTGCACGAGGTAACTGACCCTCGAACAGTGAAGCTACTTGAATTTGATTTCGAAATAAGCTTAAATTGTTTTTATTTTGAAATGTTCATCCTATTATTAAAAACCACATGTTGTAGGTACATGTTTTAGCAGCTTGATTACATTTAGATTAGAAATTCAATTAAACTCGTATTTCAACTAACATTGTAGCTAAAAGTTTTAAGTGATGATGTTAAATAGTGATTATCAGTAGTTTAGGACTAAATACATACTGAAGAGCACAGAATTTTATTAAAAAAAGAAGCTGGATTAATTGCTTTGAGCCAGCGAGTCTTATACAGAGAGCGTCATTTAGTTTGTCCCTTAATTTTCAAACTCCAGTTAAGACGTCTATAAAAGTAAAAAAATCACTCATTTTCTATCTGAAAATGTAAATTTTTGCAAACAATACCAAGGAGTTATACCTCGTAATTTTAAGGAGCGACTATGAAAGCATTATGTGCAGAGCGTAGATTTTTAACGTTTTCTACAATAACTACTACATCAGCCCACTCGTAGCAGACGTCTACGAAAACAAATCTGTAGCGTACTCGTAGTCGGTAGCAAAAATGCTACGAATTACAAACATGCATTGCTACGTGTTTCGTAGCACCGCGGGGCCGTAGCAAAGAAACAAAGGCGGAGTCTACGGTCATACCAATGAAATTACATATGAAAGAGGTTTATGCCCGTTTTCACCATCAATCCCTAATTTTTAAGCAACCCTTAAGGTACAATACAAATACAAATATTTTATTATGAAACACATGTTACATTGTCATTACAAATTAGCCTTATCCATTTAAGTTTTAGAAAACTTGTCCTAGGATAAGGCTGCAGCTCTTCACAAGGTAACACTTAACAGGAATTTAGTTTTCATAGGGGTCACTTAAAAATTAGGAATTGATGGTGAAAACGGGCATTAATCAAAATTTTATTAGAAATCAATCATTTCACATATTCCAACAAACATTAATTTGTAAGATAAATCGTAGTTATTGTCTAATCGTAGTATAGTCTCTTCAGTATTGGTGCATGTCAAGTACCAATACTTTAGTGTTTTACTTATTCTGAAGTGGAATCCTTTGAAACTCAGACCGGAGGATTCTTTTTAATTAAATTCAAATTGTAAGTAACTTGTGATTTCAATAAAGCTTTTGCAACGTTTCAAATTGTAAGGTTAAGTAGAAACAAATCTGTAGTTAGCGTGTCTCAGCCTTAATTATTCTGAGTCTCTAGACAGATTCAAGGTCTCGGGGGTTTAAGGCCTATCATGCTTCATTAACTAATTACCGTCACAAATCTACTAACTTTTTCGTTTGATGAGTTTCTTTTCAATTACGTACTTAATCTGTAATTACTCTCCTCTCACTCTCATGGGAATGTCTACATTTTCATTACAAAAGCTTGGCAATTTGTTAAATCTTAAGCGAAAAGGTACCTTTTAGGAAATTATCTTAATGGCAGTGAAATTTAATTGCCAGTAACATTATATCTTACCGTACACAAAAGGAAAAGGAATGAACGTTTTTTTTATTACTTTGTAGGATTGATCTGGGTAGTCCTGAGGTTCTAAACTTCTAAAACGCTTATTATACGTAGATTATTATATTATGTTGAAACTAGCGGCCGCCCTCGACTTCGTACGCGTGAATCCCGTTTTACCCCCTTAGGGGTGGAGTTTCGTATTTAAAACATCTACCTGCATGCCTTTCAGCCCGATCCGTCCATTGGTTTGGGCTGTGCGTTGATAATCACTATGCCAGTCAGTCAGTCAGTCACCTTTAAAATATATTTAGATAAGACCCTGTTACGTAGCATATCCGTTATGCAAATGTATAAAATTAATAGTTTATGGACACCATGACAAGGCACCCGCTATAAACTTGATTTATTACACCGATTTATCTACTGAAAGTGTAAGTGGTGTTATATTAAAATTGTAGTGTCTTCTTGACGGCAAAGGGCTGTCACTCGTCCGTTTTTCAGTTTTAGTTTAAGTTATATAATTAATTACTGTAGTTTTACATTGGTTTTAAATTGATGTCAGTTTAAATAACGGCATATTTGCGTCAGATAATCTAGAGCTCAGATTCTAGACAGTTCTTACTTTGAAAGATTCGATGTTCTAAACTTTATAACTTGCAAAAACATAGTTATATCTTTGTAAAGATTCTGTGCTAAAGATACGTGACTTTCAGGGAAAATGGAAACTTTTTACTGAAAAATTTGAAGTTTGGAGACATTAATTTTAATGTTGGCAACCCTATTAGGGTGTTATTATGTTGTCCCATGAGCCTATTCAATATCCGTCGTAGTCGTGAAAAGAAGATTATTTTTTGTCACTAAAAAGCGGTTTATTGTTATAACCTCATATTTGAAATACAGCATAACCTTTACTGTTTTACTGCTTAAGCTTTAATACACTTAACAGTATACTTATGTCTTGAATGAAACAAATATAACAAAGAAACGAAATCATTTATGTAAAAGCAAAGTGCAAACACACTACTACGGGTTTTCTTTTGATGAAAACAAAGCAATCAATTTTCTTTAGACCTTTCATATTAATTTGTGGTTGATGAGATTGACGTTGAATTTCGGTTCCAATATAAATGGCAATGCCAGATTTTGTATGGAAAGTGGCGTCTTTTTTTTTTCGCGCGGCCATCGACCAAACTTTGTTTTTTGATTACAAAATAGTGTAATAAACCAAACTTACTATCGCATGTATACCTCTAAACTCAGTCTGAACTGAGTTACGAGCATTAGAAGTTTGATGATTTTCATACTAGATTTGCTTTTTGTGAGCAAGTTTTGTAAGAAATTGCAACAAAATATTGCGCTATATTTTTATTGCGCTGATTCTGCTCCATACTGATGTCTGGAGCCTTTAATGGATGGTATTGTTTGTTTACACATACAATCTCACTAATTTGTTGCAATTTCTTACAAAACTTTGCGCGCAAAAAGCAAATCTAGTATGAAAATCATCAAACTTCTAATGCTCGTAACTCAGTTCAGACTGAGTTTAGAGGTATACATGTCATAGTAAGTTTGGTTTATTACACTATTTTGTAATCAAAAAACAAAGTTTGGTCGATGGCCGCGCGAAAAAAAAAAGACGCCAATTTCCGGCATTGTCTTTTCTAAATGATGAATTTTGCTTTAATATTGTATTGATTGTATTTTGCTTTAAGTCAAATGATTAATTTGATAGTTGAGTGAGCAAAATGCCGAATATTTATATTAAAATTCCAGCCTTTTCTGAGAATGATCTAACGTTTTATAATTGAATATTATGCTGCTTTAATATTCTTTAAGAACCTACATCTAAAGTTTTTATAATAAATATGTTAAATTTTTTAAGACTCTTATGAACTTGAGTGGGTTGAAGTTATTTAAACTTACGAGTAAGTATGTTTAGGCATGAGTGTATTTTACTGGAATTGTGATCATTAAGTGCCTCAGAACAACACTCACATTCATCCGAATTGCAATTAACGATTATTGATTAACTTGTTAGTGGAATTATCTCGCTCTTACGTGAAAAGACTTAACTAATCGTGTATTTAAGTAAAGCAGTGAATTACTGATCAAATATGTCGATGAAAAGAAAAAATAAAAATGGGAATGTTATACGATCTAAATGTAGATTTCTAAATACCAAAAGAATCCAAAGAAAATACACAAACTTATCTAACTCTTAAAATATCTTAAGGAAAACGATACCCTAGTGGCTGTCTCTACGAATCTACAAAAATATTATTCCCTAATTACGAAACCTTTTAAACCAAAGTGTACACGGGAGAAATGTGATTCCATTGCGTTCAGCTTAAATTGTTATGGTTCTCCTGATGTATTTCGTCCCCTTTGGTCAAGGATACAAACAAATCAGCGGGAAAACTCACCGCCTGTCCCCGTACCGAACTTGGCATTGACGCGGAGTGGAATGCGATTGGATTGGAAGGTAATGGGGCAACGAATCCGTTTGTCTACACACAGCTTTATCGAAAACACGTGTTGGTGGGATAGGATGTTTACCCTTTCAGCCGAATGTTTAGCTACGACTCAATAATGTTATTACTCGAAGTTCATCGTTCAACCCTTACGTGACATTGAAATATTTTGATCTCTTGCATTTGGAAATTAAGGTTGAGTTGCACCATCTTACTTTGACTTTAACAAACGTTAAAAATCTGTCAAATCCATACAAAAATCACCGGTTATTTTTATAGTTACTGTTAAAGTAAGATGGTGCAATCCAGCCTTAGTTACTTGACTGTAGGCAATCGCCCCGGGTGCCAACTCATACTACGCCGCCACTGACTAGGATTCTAAATAATTGCGTTCTAATTTAGAATATAAGACGGAGTGTAACATATTAATGATGCCACTAGGTACCACCAGAGTAAATACAAATGAGTAGGTCATCTTCATAGAATTTAACGCACGAGCGCGGTTTGTATGTGAGCCAATACGTATGCGGCGCGCACGCACACACTGACAAAATTCGGGGCAACTCACCGCTAATCAACGCTAAATTTTATCAGTGTGTGCGTGCACGCCGCATACGTATTGGTGCGCGCTCACATACAAACCGCGCTCGGTGCGTTTCTATGAAGATGACCTACTCATTTGTATTTACTCTGGTACCACTCACTTCAAAGAGGTGGCAAAAAGGCCGCTCAGACGGCTTTTAATACATGTTAGCCTAACGAATGCTTTCATGTTAAATTAATGCGATTTTCGTAATAATAAAATTAGCACAATTATTCGTTCATTCTTTTGTTTTATTTTATTTATAGAAAGGAATATCGTTGACCTAATGACACAGTTACTGACAAATATTTTGTGTGTCTGTGTTGCTCAATTACGAGTAGCATTGTTTTATTGAATGCGACATTTTGTGCTAAATTTATTTTGATAGTTAGCCAGCTACATGTAAATTTTTGGAAGTACTGATTTTTTTTTGTTATAGCCGCCATCGGAGGGAGAATTAGCAGCCCCAGCCAGTGTGGTCAGCCGTATGCACAGACTTCGAAATCTCCGGAAAGGCATCAAGGTATGTGTTTACTAAGTTTCAGGTTACGCAGTAGAAAGTGGAATATAAGTGGCATCAAGCAAATAATGTCTTTAATATAGTTGAGTCAAGGTCAAAGTACACTTTTAGATTTTTATTATTAAAACTTCTAAATCTAAGAGCACATGCATTAACATATAAGTAATTTCACTTGTCTTCTAATGCTTCATCGTCAGTTTCGTCAGTCATTACCTACTTAACTTAATGTAAGTAGGACCACAACATATCAAGCTGAAAAAGGTGTCATTTTACACTGTTGTCACCTTTTTCAGCTTGACTTTCACATATTTAGCGCGATTTTGTCACAATTGATTGATATCGTTTTACTTTACTTGTAAGCTATCTTTTAAATGATCGATATTGTCTACAGCCAACAACGCTGTTCAACGACAAAGGGAAGTATCCAACGTTGACTCGCATGTCGTACTGCCAGTGCCGTTTACCTCACGTGTTTACCAGCGTCTTCGAGCGGTTCGGATGGGCACACGTTGCCCTACTGCTGGACAAGTCAGATTTATTCTCGCTGACTGTGGGTAAGTATACCATCGATACACTACCATTGAAGCTGATCCTCCCCCTATGTTCTTCTGATTAATTTCGTTGCGGGTCCAATAACAGTTTAACTTTCCCCCGGGACAAACTTGATCTTCACTGGTTGAGTTTTTATTGGCGGTCAAGCTGTAGATCCTGCCTACACAGAAGTTGCAGCGGTGGGAAAAAGAGGTGGGAATAGTCCCGTACCATTGAAGCTGAGTTGCACCACCTTATTTTATCCGTAACAATAACATTAACCGGTAGTTTTTGTATGGATTTTGACAGGTTTTGACGTTTGACAAAGTTAAAGTAACATGGTGGAACCCAGCCTAAGCGTTTAGCGGCCAAGCATTGGTATTTTCTTAAATCGCCTGTTTTCCCACTTTCTAAATCTGGGAGTCTGTAAACAAGTATTTATTGAATAGCGTGCTCCATCTCAGAGCTTAGGTATTATTCACTTACCGTGTAGGTAATTGAGTTGAGGTCAAACCTTCAAACGCTAACTCGGTGTTAGGTATGTACATTAAAAATGTGAATTACAAAGTAATCGACGCAGTTTTTTAGTATTACCTAACTTGCAGTACCAATTTGATGAGATATTAATGCTTAAAGTAACAGAAGTTATAAAATCAGTAGTATGTAAGAGTAGAAATGCATAAACGATCACATATTACAGTTTTTCAGAGAAAGAAAAGGTGAAATATTCAAATAGCTAACTATTTTATGTTTCTTCCATAAAATCTGTTTTGTTTGCAACGCTTGCTAATAAAGGAAGATTGCAAATGAATGTTGAATTGTTAATAATATTCGTTATTTTTATGGTAGTGTTAAATGTTGTTTAGGTAAGAGCCTAGAGTGGGGTCTCCGCAAAAAAGGGATACTGAAAGCCGTACGGGAACTGGATGGTAACGAAAGGGAGTCCTGCGAAACTTTACTGCGGGACGTCAGCATGTACGCACGAGGTAAGGCTCTGAAATTCATTAATGCTTCAACCAACCAACGCGTGCAGATGGCTAATCGCCGGCGCGATCATAGGGCAATGACAGGTCGCGTGAACTGTCATGGGTCCCGCGACCTGTCATTGGCCTTTGATCGCGCCGGCGATGGCGATCTGCACGAGTTGGTGTGGTTGAAGCTTAACACCTATGTATAGCCATGAAATGACATCCCGCCTGCTAAATATCAACCCATATAATCTACCAGACATAATTAGAAAAGAAGACACAGCTAAAAGCTTCAAAGCCTACATTACCCATATAGTCGATCACCTAAAAGAATTTAATCAAACGTAATTACAATCATCATAATTCACAAACTAAATCACTGCACTGCAATTGGAGTACTCCACTAGCTACCATTGCATGTGTATCTCAATAACACTCACAAAAAAAAAACACCTATGTAGTACTTTGATGTATATTTTGGGAATAATAGATGCATGATATAATGCAGATCACAAACGATTTATCATTTATTCTTATTAGATACGCTTTTAATGGGTTTCTAAAGTAAAATTGAAATGGAAATTAATATTTGCTAGTTAAACAAAGTAAAAATTTAAATTCAAAAATGTTTAATAACCTAAATTGCAATTAAAAAGTTTGAAATTAATAACTCAGAAATTCTTGATGAAAATGAACCGAGAAAATTACGATAAAATAAAACACTGGTCCTATTACCGGGCTGCCTGCTTTGAAAGCCCTCACAATAAACATAGGTAGTTACAGTAGGCCTGGCCTACATTTGGATTGGTGTCGACTGTCATAAATTAGTGTAGATTTATTCAGCCTAGTAGAGTGGAAACCTTAAGTGATAAATTCAGACTCTATTGACCCATAACACAAGCATTAAGTTGCTTACTTTGGGGCTAGCTGGCGATGTGTGAAATTGTCTAAAGATTTATTATTATTATTTGTATCTCTCCTGTGGATAAGCACGGCGCGGAGGCCGGTCCTTTTGGAAGGCGTTCATGGGGATACAGATCCAACACGAAGAGGCCCCTTCGAGATACGATAATGTGTTGGGATGTGTACACTTAGCGGATACTATCTCTGCCTGCACTATTGAGGAGATACAGCCATAGACAGCACCCGCTAAGTGCAAGGACTATTGCAGAGAGGTGGGAACTAAACCGGGTCTATGGGTGGGAAATTGCTGGACTGGTTGCCGGGATATTGATGAGACTACGGGACGCCTGCCACATCAAATGTCTCATCTTGATAATTACGGCAGACGGAGACTCACCGCTCACTAAATGGGCCGCCCCATTAAAAGCTGCCAGATGGCAGCGAGGGCAGCAACATTGGTGTGAACGGCTAAGGTTGTCGAGAGGTGAGACTGCGGGGCGCAAGATCGCGTTATCGGTCAGCATGCCCCCGGCGTTATGACATTTTACACTTCCAACCTGGAGCATAGGTTCTGCTCTTGCTACTCCACTCCTGGCCGGCCGGTTAAGGCAAGCCAGGAGGCGAGGCGCCAAATCAATCCGGGCCCTCTGGAGATCGGGGTCCGAGGTGTAGCCACGCACCTACAGCTCGCCACTAGCTGCCCCTGCGGTTTTATTATTATTATTATGTTTGTACGCTTTGGAGCTCACGGGTCAAAAGTGGCTCGGTCCTTTATAAGGCTTGCGTGGGGATACAGATCCAACACGTAGAGGCCGTTTTAAGCGCAAAATAATCGACAAAAGTGAAAGTGGTGCACATGCTGGATCTAGTCTCTGACTATATCATGGGATGTAGCCAGAGACCATCCCCAGCCTGTGCACAGGAGCTATTGCAGTTATTGGAGAATGGACTTGCTTTTGACTTCGTCGACCATGACCTACTCATACGGAAACTTCAAAATTATGGCATCAGAGGAACAGCTAAAGACTGGTTCCAGAGCTATTTACAAAATAGGCAACAGTGTGTGGAAATAAGTAAGTTGGAAAAAAGAAACCGTTCCTACATGAAAATGACATACAGATCTGATTACAGGGTAAATGGGTGTGGAGTTCCACAAGGAAGCATACTGGGCCCTATTCTTTTCATATTATACATCAATGATCTACCCAAAATAACAAAACACAAATCTATTCTCTTTGCTGACGATACTACTCTAATTATAAAGGGAAGGGATGCGGACTATCTAGAGACTGAAATAAATACAACTGTTAAGCGAGTTATTAAATTGCTAAGCGAAAATAATCTAAAAGTAAATATTGACAAAACTAAAATAATGCAATTCAGGACATATCAATCTCATACACCTAATATTAAAATAGATTATGAAGGACAAATAATACAAAATGTACAAATGACTGAATTTTTAGGAATATTGATTGACGAAAACTGTAGTTGGAAATTACACATAAACCAAGTATGCGATAAATTAAGTAGATTCGTATTTGCTCTGCGAAGGCTTAGAGAAACTGTTTCTGTAGAGGTTGCTTTAGAAGCATATCACGCATACGTCGTCTCTGTTTTACAATACGGCTTAATAATATGGGGGAACTCTACTGATATAGAAATAGCGTTTAAAATTGACTAGGGTTATGGATGAAGGATGGATGGACTGGTTACTGGGCTATGGATGGAGACTACGGGACACCTGCCTGGTTCATAGTCTCGGACTGAAAAAATGGCAGGCGGTGACTAGCCAGCGACTAAATGGGCCCCCCCTGGCGTCATGGGTCGTATAGACCGGACTGAGGGGCAACATTGGCGTCTGCCAGCTCAGGGGTGTAGAGAGGTGTGCTGCGCTTTCTCCGAAGTTACTCGCGGCGTTATGCCCTTTAACACTTCCACCCCTGGAGCTATAGCTCTAGCGACTCCACTCTGGCCGGCCGGTTAAGGCAAGCCAGAGGTGAAAGTCCTGCAGACCCTCTCGGATTCCACTTCGGCAAGCCGAAGACGAGGGTCTTGACCGACTCTCGGGAGCACTCGGATTAACAACTGGCCCCGTGGTGTCGCTACTCACCAACAGCTCGCCACAAAGCTGCCCTGCGGGGCTTATTATTATTATTATTATTGGCCACTAGAAAAGCAACCAGTTGTTTGTTAAGATAATACAACATACATACAACTTACTTACATATGATGACTAGAGGCCGCCCGCGACTTCGTACCGACGCGTGGATCTCGTTTTACCCCCTTAGGGGAGGAGTTTCGTAAAATCCTACATTCTAAAAGGAACCATCATGCAAAATTTTAGACTTCTAGTACTTGTAGTTTCTGAGATTTCGTAATGAGTGAGTGAGTCAGTTAGTCAATCAGTGACCTTTCGCTTTTATAGATATTAAAGATTCAGAAGAACCTTTTCAAATAGCAAATACTTATCATTTAGGCAAGTAGTTAATATAAAATTCTTGTAAACCCACTGTACCTTCGTGTAATGCCTGTCACCTCGTTCGCTGATATTTCATGTTCGCGGCCTTTTGTTTCGCTTAATGCATTTACATTTTCAGTTGGCATTATTGTACTGAAACTGTGGCTGGATAGCTTTTGTCGTCATCCGAACACCTGTATGTGTTTTGTTTATTTAAAAAGGCTACGAAACGAGAAACATTCGGGAATCCGTTGGGAATGTTTTTGATACAAGTTTTCCTTTGTATAGGAATTGAATTTCATTTTGCAAAATATTTATGAAAGGTTTTCTAGGAATGGTAAGGGACATTGGGAATATATTGCATTAAAAATAAAGAATTTGCTAAGAGCTTGAGATGTTATTTGTAATTGAAGTATACAAGAAATTGATATAATATGAACCATTATACCTACCTACATTTATGGTTGTATAACATTACAACTAAAACATTTATTATTCTCGATATGTTTGTTTTACCAATTATTTTATCTATTGTCTTGTTAAACATTGCTTGTTTTTCTATAAAGTCTTATACCTAATTAGGTCAGTTGAGTTTTTGTGTAACTAAACAGTTTGAGAAGAAGAGTTTGGGACTTATGGAAGCTCCACTAATGGACTGGTTTCGCTTCCACATTTTTCATTTGGTGGTGGTATACCTACAGCACTTAAATAATGTCAAAATCATAATCTTTTCTTTCATAGTGGTAATCCTGAGCGTGCGTGGCCCACTAGTGCGAGAATTCTTGCTCGCAGCGCACTCGCTCGGCATGACGCGCGGCGACTGGGCCTTCCTCGACGTCGAAATATTTCAGGTAACTAAATAAGTTAGTTTCAGTAACTTATTTTATTCCTAGGTTATATTATACCTAGTTCTTGCAACTCACGAAGGCGAGTGGGCTTTACTTGTGTGTACGTGTACATGCCCATAATAACGATAGTGTAATGTCTGTTAAAACTTCCGAAAAACAAACAGTAGCGAGCCACCAGACATGTAAAGCTCATTTACCTTCGTGAATTGCGTCAACTATAATTTATTATCATTTTATTATCTTCAATTCTTTTCCCTGTTTATCCAATGATTGTAATAGAAATTGAAAGAGGGCAATCTCCTTTTATATAAGTACCAACTTATATAAAATATAAATCATCTTGTAAGTTACTCGTCAATGTATGTCAAGAGAGGATGTTCTGGTTTGTATAATACACGTTCTACGGTATCGGTTACGTCTGTATTGGTTCGTGCTTCAATATCTTTACTCAAGCGTCAAACTTTAGCAAGGATAGTTGCGAACTTGAGCATGACCTACTCCTAACTTTATTATCCCTTAAACCTGTTTATTAATTCATACTGGCTTAGATAAAGTCAGCTGCGTAGTTGAAGGAAAGTAACAAAGTTTGAAACTGAAATAATTCGTCTGTCTGTAAACTTTAATACTTTAATACATACTCATTCTAGTTGCCCAAAAAAACGAAATAAGAGTTATCATTTGTTGGTTAAAATGATTTGTTCAAGTAAATTGTTGTACGAAAAGCTATTTCTGGTTATGGCGTTGGACAAACTCGTAGCTTTGAAAAACAAGTTGTTTTGACAACTATCGTGGTCATTTGACTACAACCGAGTTGGAAAATGGAAGATTTTATTACAGGGCCCAAACTTTGGGAAAATTACGAAGATAAACTGAGACCCGAAAATATTCCGTAACTTCCATTTTATTATTGTACCTAGTTGAGGGCAACGAAAACATAACTAACTTGGTTTCGTTAGGCTTATTACAAGTTAAACATGTAAATATTTTATTATAATTAGCAGGGTTATTCGAGCACTATAAATGATAAAATTCCAATTTATTCTTAATCAAAATAGTGAAAATCTTCCTCCCTAGTTCACGTCCTTAGTAATTATTGTCTAATTAGTAAAGTGGGTTTTCTACAGTTTCTGGGCCTCATATTATAGTTATCATTAATCTAGTGAATCCCTCATTAAGTAAATTAAGTTTGAGTAAGGTTTTCAGCCAAGACAGGTTTAGAGATCGTAATATTTGATTACAAGAAACGTGTGATCCCTTTTTGATGGGTAGGTAAAGTGGATTGTTGCGAAATTCTAACAAATCTATTTGCGAATTAAAGTCCGTAGTCCCACAGAAATAGATTATCAGGTAGATACTAAGAAATAGAGCTCCTGATTATTTTAGAATTTTGTCAAATATTGTACCCTAAGAAATATAATATTTACAAATCGTACGGTTTAAAAAAAAAAACAGTAACGACTTAAAGCATTGTTGTTATGGGGCTTATCCCACTGCAACTCTTGTTTAAGCAGGATTTACCGCTGAAGGTTGAGTAGTCGCAGGGATAGCTTTCGTGAAAACCGCAACAAAAATCAGATAGTTATTAAATTTTTCTGGCTTTAAGAGTCGCCTCTCGATCTCAATTTTCGTGGGTTTGATTCCCACTTTAGGCAGTTCGATTTTTTCAAGTTATTTTTAAAATTTAATCAGAATTCAGAACCATGGGCCTTTACATGTGTCATATTAATCTTTTGGCTCTACCATCCTAGGGCGGATACTGGGGCGAGACGGGCTGGGCGGCCGGCGACGACCGCGACGCCGCCGCCCGCGCCGCCTACGAGGCACTGCTTCGGGTGTCGCTCAAACTGCCCACTGGGGACCGCTTTGACGACTTCGCGGATGCCGTGAAGGCTCGGGCGAAGTTGCATTATAATTATACTTTTTCGGATGGCGAGGAGGTAAGTTTTTGTTTGTAGAGGCCTAAAATATGGGGTGAGTTTTTCTGAAAGGCTCAAAGCCTGATTGAAAATCTTATACATATTAGACGTGGTGTAGGCGAGAACCACCTGGATGCGAACAGCGTAGGAACCGTCTTGGTGGACTTCTTGGAGGAGTCCTTTGACCGTACTACAGGATCTCAAGAGTTTTAATGTTTTGTTTTTTGAGCACTTTATCGAAAATTTCCAAATTAAAACGCGCGTTAAACATCATTTTAATAAACCTAATTATATTTATCAAAATAGTTGATAAACAATAACAAACGCACACGCCCAAATTTTCCTCAAGCTCTTTAAAGTGACTTTCGTTGTCATTCCTTCAACTTTCGACCTTTAGGAGTAGAATTACATAACACGCATTGAATTTCATTTAATAACACGATCCACCGCAGGTCTATAAATATTCCTGCCAGACACGCCGTAAAGTTTAGATAAAATAAAAGGCATTACTTTAAACGTTCCACGGTATCGTGTTGTTATTTTGTAGCGTTATTGTAAAGCTGTCGGGATAATAAGGTCGTGGGTATCTTCCAGCGGAGTTACGCCCTTGTTATCTAACACTTATCGCAGATGCAACCTTATTCGTTTGACATGTCGAAGCGTTAAAACGGTTGCATAACGGTTTTCAAGGTAAATGATTCGTATCAAGGTAAATAAAAATACAGTGCACTCGTGTGAAAAATACCTTGAATGAATTCTGTGAAAACTGCTAGCAATTTATTGGCACGTGATGTGAAGAGACGAAAGAAGCTTTTTTTCTGTAACACTTGTGTTTGAATTTATTTTGTTGTTTTTTTCCCGTTGTTAATTCTTTAAATACGTTTTCATTGGTCGTATCTACTACTTTAAAATAAAAATGTATCGTTTTATTCCGAAACGTCTACAGCAATCGTAACAAAACCTTTTGTTTGTAACAAACAATGACTAAGATACGGTAACAAATAGGACTGAAATCTCGTTGAATAGGCCGAGATTCTCCAGCCGCCTGAGGCCTGTCGAGTGTCGACATGTCTGTCTTTATCATCTATTTGATTGATTGCTTTTTAAATAAAAAACTGCTATTTTTGGAGAAAAAATACGGGTTTTATCGGAGTTTCTCAATGTATGTTATTTATTGAAAATAATTTGGTTGTCTGATTGACAATTACCTATTATATTTTATTCAATTTTGTGTGAACGTTATGAAAGTCACATGAATCTGATTTTCAATAGATTATCTATAATATCAAGTGTCTTCAACATTTTGCGTACACAAAGAGAATAGAAAATCAAATTTCGGTGACGGTGAGAGGCAAACATACCAAACTACATACCAAAGTAATTTGCTAATAGGTAGAGACACATAAAATAGTTTTACCAGAACAAAACATGTAGGTACTTCATTGCTGTCTAAAGGCTGTCAATTTACGTATTTGAAGGTAAAAGCAAACAATAATGGCACCAGGATTAATTCACAAAATAATGTGTTTCTACCGTAATCGTCATAAATCGTATTTAAAGGAAATCAACTTTCTGTACACTACTAAAATGCATGTAGATTACTGAAAACAGCCATTAACGAAATTAATAAGGCTTTTTTAATTTAGCTTTTCATAATTAGGTAATTAATTATAGCCATTAATTGAAGTAATTAACGTATAATTTCACATTTGTTTTTTATAAGGTAAACTTCTTCATCGGTGCTTTCTACGATGGCGTGTACCTGCTAGGTATGGCACTCAACGAGACCCTGACCGAAGGTGCTGATATTAGAGACGGCCGAAACATCACGCGCCGCATGTGGGGCAGAGACTTCCACGGTGAATATACTCCATCCAGGTTTCTTCTGCTTTTTCAGCTGCACTGAATGCTATGCACCGTTGATGAAGCATGTTTTACAACATGAGGGACTAATGAGGGACGCGCTCAGAAGTCAGAACGTAGTGTTTCGCTTTCCATATAAAGTGATTGATGTATTGTAGAATATGTAGAGCTTGATATTATGGATCCGACCATTTTCGAAACGCAGCATTGTGGGCGCCTGCTTCAGGGGCCAGAGGGCTTCACCACTAGTAAGCGCGTTTAAAAAATCTATGAAGATTTTAGTTCTTGAAAGTATCCGCTAGGGTCGCTGTACAATCCGTCATACATTAAATTTTTTTAAGTAGTCACTAGTGAAGACTTTTGATGTAAACTTACACTAACGCCCGTATTCACAAACATTACTATGAGGTCTCACAGTGCGCGTGGACGCACAGGGTGACACACGAACCAATAACAGAGCTCTATTCAACGCTGTGCGTTCGATTTGCTGCTTCACTTAAGCAAGCATCGTTTGTGAATACGGGCGTAAGCCCACTGTTATGATCAAAGAGTTCTTACAAATTTTGTTGCAGGATTTTGTGCCTGCAAAATGAGATGTGAAGTATTAGAAATAACTTAAAACATAAATTCTTAGAGGTCATTCATTGGGTTTCTAAAGCAAACAATAAGTGTTTAAAAGCTTAGAAATTATTGGCTATCATCTACGTTCACATTTGGCTATCATGTACATCCCCGTTTACGGAATGTAAAGAACAGTTCGCGCGCGAATTGAATGCAGACTTTTTGGAACATTTTGTTTCTGGCGCTCTGCATTTCACTTGCGCGTGAAGAGCACTCAATGGTACAGTCGAGTTCCTAACTATTTAAATATATTGGTAATGCCAATGTTTCAAAATATTGTTAGCGTTAAAACGAACATTATATTTCAATACAAACTCAAACATCAATAAAATGAAATAATAATAAAAAACTGCGCTACTGCGCTACAGTATTTTGAAACATTGGGCACTGCCAACATATTTATGAACTTGACTGTACCTACTTAACTTGTACATAACTTAGAACTCGTATTCACCTAAGTATTAGTACTTTAAGCTACTTTGCAGGGAAGAGTGTTCCCGTTGGATTGAATAAAGTGTACCTATTCGGGCAGGGATCACCGGCCACGTGCGCATAGACTCCGTCGGCGATCGGGATGCGGATTACGCGATACTGGACCTGGACCCTGTCACGGGAAAGTTTGAGGTAAGTACTTTAAAGTACTTACTACTGTAATAAATTTTTGTCGCTATTTTGGAAATTGAATAAAATCTAAAAATGTAGGTAGATAAGTTTATTCTTTATTACCTAGATTTTTTAATCGACTATAATAAATACTAAGACTAAAATAAATGAATTGATTTGATTTAATTAACATCAAGGTGGTTAAATTATTGTTCTATATGGAATGCACAGGCGAATTGGTATTGACTTCGAGTGCATTACCGCAGCAAAATTTTTGTAAATGTTTTGCTTTAGAGAGTCGAGAGTATAGCAGATAATTAGTCCATCGTGAGCAGAAATTTGTCCACTAATAGCAAAATTCGTTCAAATTATAGTTTTAAAGTTATTAGGAAAAAACAGATTTTGCTGGGGTAATGTTTGAAACATTACCCTGGCAAATTTTTTTTTTGAAAGTCGTTCTATCCCGGAACCAAATACATGGATAGATAGCTTTTGTTGCGTAGTAATTTGTCCACGAATAGCAAAATTTGTTCGTGTTCCGGTTCTCAAGTAATTCAGAATTTTGCTGGGGTAATGTTTTGTGATGTCCCAGATCTCGTAAATGGCTCAACGCAGAAGTTTGAAAAAAATACCAATGATAGACCTTAATATGTCCAAATGAGTTCAAGCATTAGTCATTAATTTGAATGATAAACACTAGTGTAATGATTTCGAAAATCAGATAAAACGGATTTGTGAGTAAACCAGTACTCTTACAATCGAATAAAAAGGTGTAGCATCTACCCTTGGTACACCTTTATAATCACAGTAAATATAAATGATGTGGCTTTGCGCAAAAGGGAGATTTTTAGAAATTTAATTTATTTTAACAGTCTTACTTTCGTGGCCGAATACGCAATTCCCTTATAACAAGGGAACATGGCATACAATGGACAAATTAAAATGTTCCTTGAATAAGCTATCCTGTTAATTTCAGCTTTATATTATGACTTAAAAGAAAGTTATTGAACTGCAAAAAATATCAGGAATTCTTCTATAAGCCAACCAAATTATAAAGGTCACTAAAAAGCGACCGTTCCATACATAAGGCTTGCTATCTTAAATCAACGGTATGATATCGAGCTTTCGTCAGTACAGTTGCGATGCGAACAAAGGTGTTGTGTTGAGTTGAGAGGTCAGATTATTGAAATAATAAAACGAACATTTAACTAACTAACAAACCGGATCACGAACAAATTTTGCTATTCGTGGACAAATTACTACGCAACAAAAGCTATCTATCCATGTATTTGGTACCGAGATAGAACGACTTTCAAAAAAAATTTTTGCTGGGGCAACGTTTCAAACATTACCGCAGCAAAATCTGTTTTTCCCTAATAACTTTAAAACTACAATTTGTACGAATTTTGCTATTAGTGGACAAATTTCTGCTCACGATGGACTAATTATCTGCTATACTCTCGACTATAAAGCACAACATTTATAAAAATTTTGCTGCGGTAATGCACTCATTGACTTTAATATTCTGATCCCAGATGGCCAGATTATGGGTATTGCAAAAAAGATTACCCCCCTTATTATTAAAAGTTACACCCTAGTTGAACCCGGAAATGTCATTTTAATCCAGTTGCTCATCCCGGGTGTAACTTTTTAATAATAAGGGAGTAGAGTAGGTATAATAGGTATCCTTACATTTTAATAAAATCTAATATTACATAAGTATTATTATGAACGAACATGTAGTAATATGGAGAGCTTAAATAAATGCAGCAACTGCGTAGGGGTTGCTAATAACACTCGAATAGATAACGGTCTTGGCTCGCTTAACAAGATTTTCATATTGTAGCGCTTGTAACCCTCAGCGGAGAACCCTTCCACGTCTTTCTTTATGGTCCGTTAGGGCCTCTCTGTTCTACTGTATGGCCCCTGAATGGCTTACACGATTTATGATTATATCTTATTAGAGCTTGCCTAAAAAGAGAAATGTTTTTGGAATGTTACGATAGGTATTCGGCAAAACATGGTCAGCATCATGATTTAATGAAAATACTTCAAAGGCTCTCAAAAGTAAATATAAACAAAGTACTTACGTAGGGCAATGTACAATTATTATCTTAATTTACGAGTAGATCGTCCGTAAAATATACAATTTTCAATTTTAAAAGTTACATTTATTTAGCGAGTCTGCTTTTAATATCTCGGTTTGCCATCAGCATGTTAATTCATTCCCATTTTAATAATATAATACTATTAATTTTTACTGAGGTAACGCAATAATAGGTAAGGGTAAAACTAATGGTTTTTAATACATAATGCAGAGATATTTTTCTCAGAATCATCAGCATTTATTTATTACGTGCATGAATTTCGTCCCAGCGAATTACAATACCTTCAGGAATTCAATTTTGTATTTTCATCAATGACGAATACCGTTCCATCGGCACGAACCGTATTGTTTGTTTGCCAGAAAATATCTTTTTAATATTATATAGAGGAAAACTTTGTTTGTTTGGTTGTAATGAATAGGCTCAAAAACTACTGGACCGTTTTTAAAAATTCTTTCACCATTTAAAAGCTACATTATCCACGAGTAACATAGGCTAAATTTTATTTTGGAAAAAAATAGGGTTCCGTAAAATATGTAGATAATGTAGTCCACGCGCGCGAAGCCGCGGGCGGAAAGCTAGTTTGAAATAAAATAGAGACGGTATAATTCGTCGATATGATTTGAAATTAAATTTATTATTGTAGATTTTATAATTATTTCGTAATTCACAGAGACAAAAGTTCAGCTTACAAAAACTTACATACAGGGTCAGTTGGTACCTAGGTACATAATATTTGCAAGCCTACTTACTGTTTTACGTGGACTGCATAATTCGACACTTTCAAAGTAGATTACATTGAAAGTACCTAATAAAAAAATAATAGAGTTAGACAGATTATAGTCACGGTGTAGGACTAAGCCCAGCAGTTGACTGACGCAGTTGACTGACGCAGTCTGCTGATGATACCATATTACTTACCCGTAATTTAATCATAGGTGGTGGCGTTTTATCACGGCCTCAACGGCAGCTACAAGCCGGTGGCTGGCAAGGCCATCCATTGGCCCGGGGGCCGCCGCGGACCCCCGCCTGATACGCCTCGCTGCGGGTTCCTTGGGAACGACCCTATGTGCCAAGGAGGTAAGTGTACAGTGAAAATGCTAGTTGTCATAGTTCTAGGGAACAATAAACACTTTTTAATAGTTTTAGATTTGCTCTCACAATACTACAATGAATTGGGTAATTGTCACCAATAAACCAATAAAAAAAAAAATATATATATCTTTGGACAATCTCACACAGCGCCATCTAGCCCCAAAGTAAGCAATTAATAAGCTTGTGTTATGGGTGCTAGCTTAACGGATATACTACTTATATACTTTTTTTTTTAATTTTTAAATACATACATATTATACATAGTAACACCCAGACCCGTCACAGAAATTAAAATTCACCATTTCAATTTCTGCCCGGCCGGGAATCGAACCCGGGACCTCTCGGCATAGTAGTCCGTTCTGAACCACTACACCAAACGGCCGAATAAACTTATGTACTATACATGTACTGTTTTTTAATTGGTTTTTGTAGCAATATAAATGTTTTACAGTCATCGTCCCAAATTTTATTTAATTTCGTTTTACAACAGTTTATTATATTACTAGCGGCCGCCCGCGACTTCGTACGCGTGGATCCCGTTTTACCCCCCTCATCTATATTACGCGGTTTAGATTTTTTCATACAAATGTTTTTTCCCGTTAACTCCCGTTCCCGTGGGAATTTTGCAATATCCTGTTGTAACTAAGCTTTTAGTTTACTAAGGTACCTGCATGCCAAATTTCAAGCGTCTAACTTAAGCGGTTTAGATTTTTCATTCAAAAGGATTTTCCCGCTAATTCCCGTTCCCGTGGGAATTCTTAAGTATCCTATAACCTGCCCAGGAGTATGAAGAATAATTGTACCAAGTTTCGTTAAAATCCGTCGAGTAGTTTTTGTTTCTATAAGGAACATACAGACAGACAGACAGACAGACAGACAGACAGACAGCCAGACAAAAATTTTACTGATTGCATTTTTGGCATCAGTATCGATCACTAATCACCCCCTGATAGTTATTTTGAAAATATATTTCATGTACAGAATTGACCTCTCTACAGATTTATTATAAGTATAGATGTAGATTGTAGAGATACTATGAAAATTAAGCTAAAAGACCTTAATTTCGTCGTGGTTTCATTTTAAACCATAAGACTACATCCAGAGCGGACTCTGAAATTTCTTATAGGGTATTTACTTAATCCCTTTAAATAATATTAACCGCAAGTCATTTGATGTAGACTTAATTAGGTATCTGACTAAGTAATGAGCTATCGTACATTTAATAGGCAAAAGGAGAATAATTAAAGAGCTAGTTTTAATGGGCGACTCCATCGAACCTTTGATGTATTGAGTGACGTGAAAATTTATCGGAAATAAAATCTCAAACAAAAGAAAAATACTTAAACAAAATTTTCTTCGAAAGAATTCTATCATACAGATTTCATCGAAAAACTGTTCGCAGTAATAAAAGTAATCAAACGTAGAAATAGTTTCTGCAAATACTCTCCAATTTCGTTGTTCAGTAAATAAAATATCAAAATGGGTAAACTTCGGAGTAGGTATTTACTGCAGCAATAAAATATTAGATACCCAAAGTACGGCCAACTAGCAGCAATACAAAAGGTCGATACGACTGTCGAGTTGACAATATATTCTGTCTCTTCCCATCTTGTGTAATTGTCGTAATGTCTCGTTCTCCCGCCAAAATATGTCAAAGTCAGACGGGTTCACCCATGACATTGGGTTTGTTTACATTTGGTATCGCTTCTCGTTGGACGTACTTTTACCGGTGTTTTTTGTATGGATTTTGACATATTTTTGTCGTTTGTTAAAGTCAAAATATGATGGTGCAACCCAACCTTACTGTAGTAAACTCAACGGGTTGTAGAGTCGCGCCCAGTGAGCAGTGCAAATTGTATGTTTCAACTTGATAGGTGTTTATTGTCCAGACCATTGCACAGTACTCGCGTCCATCGGGTCTTCATTATTTATTAATTAACCACATCCATTTGCCAGTTCGGGCGTAACATATCAATAATTGAATTCCTGGACTGGTCCACATGATTTATTTATTAAATAAATTAGGCTGGCTGTTTTTATGATTTAGGTAGAGTGAATAATAGTCTGTATTTATAGATATTGAAAACCAATCTTACCATATTATGCGTTTTAAAAGTATTTAAAGGAAGGTTTCAAAATATTTTTCAGAAGTTCAGGAACAGCTTTAAGCACTCTCGTTTTCATTTCTTTAATGCTATGTATACAGTAAGTAAAACGTAAAATAATCAAGCATTTCATTTGTATTTTACTACGTAATTTCTATGGTAATGTGTCGCGATAGTTCATAATATAGTCGTAACTATCAGGGTTTAGGAACCCCGCGTGATTCTGTCTGTATACGCTTCGTATGTCATAGTTGCTTCAAATTTATTGCCTGAATATCAAATGATAGCGTACTCGTGTTGGTAGATATAGCAAATACGCGTATGGTAATCCGACTGAACTATGTTTTAGCAATATGCTTGGTATAATGGGAGGAGGCGAATGGTAATTTCGGACCACAAAAATATTCATTATTCACAAAGGGTTTATCGGAAAAATTCCGTGAAACAGAGAACATTGACTTGCAACTAAAATTGTTTGGTTTTGGAGTTATAAAGCTACGTATTATCTTAAAATTGTGGCTCATTTTATAAACAGCTGTAAATATAAACTGTTGTAAAAGTCGGCTGGTCGTACATCATCCTTTTAATTAAGTTCTTTCATAAAGTTTAGATTTGAAGCGCTCGCCGTAACACAAATGAAACTACCGCGATGAAGGTGTAATAAATTGTTTTTTTCACGCTGCTATTAGAGGCTCAAACAGTTATAATTTACTGTTTCATCGGACTGGCTATTTTCCTAAGCTTTGCAGTCACGGCCGCCTGTGTGGCGTACAAGTAAGTATAATAATTATAATGATACAGTCCGCCCCAATGAATTTGGATATCTTATAAATAAAAGAAAAGCTTTTTTTCCAGATTGCTAATGTAATATTGGCGCGGACTGTGCAATCATGCAACGTTAAATTTACATGTTTCATAGGCCAATTTAAAGGTTATACGAGGTGTGTCCCGTAAGTGGGACATTAAGGTTATTAAGGCATTTTATACCTAATTGGCGTGCTTCATTTTGCATGAGCAAGACCGATTAAATTCCCGAGTGTCTTAGCAGTCTCATAAAAATGTCCCACGTAAGGAACACGCTTCGAATGGCACGCGACTGTCAACTTTATTTGTCTGCAACAAAATTAGTTTTGAAAGTCTACGTCCTCGGAAGGCGGCAGCTAACGAACTATGCAATTGATTTCTTTGTTGTAAACTTTCCTTAATTAATTAGATACTCGAAAGTTTTGTAGATACTATTTATTGGAAGCGTTAGTCTGTTAGAAGTTAACGAAGGAAACTATGTACCGCTTTTCTTCGTAATTGTGGTAATTGCTTTATCTTTCAGTTTCAGTCTCAGTAAAGATCGAGAATGATTCTTTTTTGCAACCATTTCATCAGATAAAATCTGCTCTGTTATTATGATGTTTATTTGAATATGCTTAGGTCCGTACCAAAGAATTTTCCAATGTCCTAAAAATCTCACTCACTGGCCATGCACATAGGACAATGCGGCAAAGTACAATAGTTTTGAACATTAACATGTTAACAGCAACTTCATGAGCAATTCACGCAGTTATGGTAAGCACTTTAGTTGCTTTAGTCATATGACTACAGTGGTACATATTATAAGTACCAATACATATTATAAGTGTTCATAAACTTCTAAACAGGCAAGCACGAATCGACGCGGAGTTGAACAACATGGCTTGGCGGGTCCGTCCTGAAGAGGTGCTGGTGGAAGTGGGCACCGGGCTTGGAGCCAGCCCAGCGCTGCACAGCATCAACGAGGTCCTCAAGGTAAAGCAAATAAATACATAGTACAGCATACGATGGCACAACTGACTGGCCATCCTAAGCTGCATCCCACTTAACATCAGGTGCGATTGTGGTCAAACACCTGCCTATGCATAAAAAAAAACTTTCCCTTTGGCAATGGCAATAAGAAAAATCTAGAGGTAAGTATCTACCTCTATTCTGATGTGCTGTCTGATGAAATAAAAATAAACGTTTTGTTTATTTCATTAATCATTTTCAGATACACTAATGGCTCTCTTTATTGTAGGTAACTCTATCGCTGGAGTGCCTATATGTGATTGATTTTTTTCAATGAAAGCCTATGATCCTATTACGTAACTAGCACCCGTATTCACAAACGATGCTTGCTTAAGTGAAGCAGCAAATCGAACGCACACCGTTGAATAGAGCTCTGTGATTGGTTCGTGTGTGCTGTGCATCCACGCGCACGGTGAGACCTCAATACTCAATACTCAATACTTTTATTGCATAACCACATTAGCATTTACATTTATAGATCTTACAATTTAGGCAGTTATACAATGTGGACCTCATAGTAATGTTTGTGAATACGGGCGTAAATCCATGAAGTGGTTTTAATTCCTATCCCTTAATAAATAAATATCTTAATAACAATTGCCAGTGTCTGTTGTCTAGGACAGAATACAACCTGTACGTATAGGTAAACTAATGTAATGTAATGTATAGGTAATTCAATAAGATGGAATTAATTTCCAATGGACGCGCGCGATTAAAGGTGTTTCATGTACGCAACACATATGTGACCATGTAGTTCCCTTTTGATTGAAAGTAGTGTCGTTAATTAAGTAATTGGGTAAATTGGTCGTGTGTCCCTTTGCTGTTTGTTCCGCAGTCGCCAATTAAATGGCTACGGGAAATTTATTTATTTATTTATTTACAACGACAACAACACTACACTGTCATCACAGGACATCCCACTGCGACAGCGAAGACAACACATCAACATACACAACGTCAAATACACAACTAGAAACCACCTACGTATACAAACCTACACATAACATATAACAAATAATGATGCCTTTGTAAATTCACTCAGAGTACAAGAAAAAATATCAATTTTATCTGAAATTAGATTGAGAGTGGAAATGGCGCGCGTCAACGGCGCTTTATTGAGCAGGTTAGTCCTCCCGCGCGGCACCGCCAGCAGCGCCGGCCGGCGCCGCCGCCACACGTACCGGTCCGGGGCTCGCAGCGCGACCCGCGCCAGAATGTCCGCATCGCATACCTTCCCTCGGATAATCTTAAAAATATACAGTGCCAGCGCATGTTCTCTCCTCACCCTCAATTCATTATAACCCACCATTCCTAACACAAACAACGTTGGATACATTAGTGGGTAAAAAGGATATACTCCATAAAGCTTTTTGTATAGGTGCCTAGTAAATTTATTTTGAACCTTTTCTAACATAAGCGTATATTTAGCTTCATGTGGTGCCCAAATTACCGAATTAAATTCCAGTTGGCTTCTCACCAGTGCGTTGTATAAGTTGATGATCGCTTTAACATTCGTGAAGTTTCGAACACTGCGTAGAATAAACCCTAAATTTCTAAATGCCTTCTTACAGACATTGACGATGTGTTCCCGAAATGTCAAACCCGTATTAAGCCGAATTCCTAAATCCCTAACTTCAGTGACTCGTTTTAACGGTACACCTCCTACCTCGTAAATATGTTGTATTGGGGAACGGGTGCGAGTGAAAGTAATTATGACACACTTTGAAGTGTTAAACTGTAGCTGGTTGCTTTTGCTCCACGCTACCACTCTGTCTATGTCCCTTTGCAACTTTTCGCAGTCTTCGGATTTTTTTATCTCGAGGTATAGTTTGAGGTCGTCAGCGAATAACAGACATTTCGCGTCTTTTACGACCTTAGGAAGATCATTGATCATCAGGATGAACTCGAGAGGCCCTAAGTTACTGCCTTGACTTACTCCAGACCTGGTGAAATAGGGTTCTGACCTATAACCTGTATACTCAACATACTGCTGCCTGTCTGTCATATAACTAGCGAAAAAATTCAGCAATTGGGGGGCGAAACCGACACCGGCCAACTTTTTAAGCAATACGTCGTTATCGACCAAGTCGAATGCTTTTTTAAAATCAAAGTAGGCGGCGTCGACCTGCCCCCCCGCATCCACTATTGGCGTAATGTCCGCCATATAACTGAGAAGATTGCTGGTGGTACTTTTTGCCGGCCGGAACCCATGCTGAGCGTCCGAGAGCTGTGCACTTACTTGCGTAAATATAGTCTTATGTACTATAGATTCGAGTATTTTAGCTGGCGTCGATAGCACTGCGACCGGCCTATACTCGTCCACTCTCATTCCAGATCCCCCCTTGGGCACCGGAACGACCCTAGTTGTTTTCCATCTGTCCGGAAAGATCGACCCTTCGAAACATTTATTGAAAATGTAAAACAGCGGCTCAACCAGTACCAATCCACAATCCTTGAATATGTACGGTGGTATGCCATCCGGGCCCGCGGACCGCTTGGGCTGCAGGCGCTGCAGCGCGCGGCGCACGTCCTCCGGCCGCAGCCGGCCCAGCTCCACGCGCGCTGCGGCGTTGGCGCCGCCAGCCGCCTCCACCGCTGCGCTCACATTCAGTTCCGCGCGCTCCGTACTGTACACCGCGTGAAAATACCTAGCAAACTCATCCGCAATCTGTTGGCCCGAGAGTATCTCACCGTTGTTCAAGATCGTTTTTGTGCCAGTATTACCTCTTTTGGATTTGACGTAGTTCCAAAAAGATTTTGGATCGTCTCGCAGGTTATGTTGCACTAGTATTTCATGTTGCGTGCGAGCCGATTTAATCTTTTGTTTTACCCTGGTTCTTAGTTGAGCGAACGCGTCATAATCTATTTTCATCCTACTCTTTGATTGAATTGAAGATTGAAGCGAATAATCGATTACTACGGTCCACGTTTCGAATCGAGTGGTGAACGAGTGATTTGAATGTGGACTCGATTGCTTTGTGTCGATTCTGTTGTGATTTCGGAGCGTTCAATCAATACGCTGAATAGGTTTTTACCTTTTCCCCATTTTTGTTACAAAGATGCTACAGATTATGTTAATGCGGATACAATAAGGATTACCGGCAGATACAATCGTCTTACTGCGGAATATGGAATCCCGCTGATCTAAATTATAATATCTTGAAACGTTATCTACTGGAGATAAACAATTACTCTAACTTACAAGGAATATTGGAAGCTTTATTGATTTTCACTAAAATAATGGTTTCGTTACATCTACGCCGTTAGGTAACAGGTGAGATTTTATAATCGACGTATCTCGCAAACCAATTATTAGATAATTTTACTAGAGTACTCGATAGCGCAGAAGTGTGAGCGAAACATATGGACAGCAATACATTCCACTATTTTTTAAAGATTATTAGCTATTTGTATTGCCCAAATTACTAATAGTCCCATTAGTCCCTCGTGTTAAGTTAAATAAGCTTGTGTTACGAGTGGACTCACCACAATTATTATAGTCGAGCGGCGGTGGGATTCGAACCCGTGTTCCTCGGACCTCGAGTCGGCCACTCCGACCCCTTCACCGTTCGGCTATCGTGGCTTCACTTGCACCCGCAAGTTGTCGCAAACTGTAACTTTTGTTCGCTGCTCCCCTCGGTTGTGTTTCGATCAACTTCGATCTCTCAGGCTGTTGACTCCTATAAACGCCGTAAGCGGCGTACATCGTTACGCATAGGCCGTATCACAATGCTTACTAGAAATGTACTGTTGCGGTCTCCTTTAGACAATGATGTTAGTTTATGGACACTATGGACGTCGATAGGAACGTTTGCCGCTGACGTTGTACTCCACTATAGCGTTTATTAGGACTTCATAGCCTCACAGAGAGTCTTTGCCGCGCTTCCAAATGCTGTACCTTACTATCTTCTACAGCTCTCCTTAGGATGGAGCGCCCGAGGCAACAACGCGACGGCTTCTGGCCTCAACACGCCCTCTCTCAACCTCTCTTCCTTCACCGTAGGCCTGTACAAAGGCAACCGGGTAGCCGTCAAGAAGATCCACAGGAAGAAACTCGACTTGAACAAGAAGCTGTTGTATGAAATAAAACTGGTAAGATTGGAACTATTCACATTTCCTATTCAGGATTAGCAATTCTGTACCATTCTTCAATTTATCCTCATGATTACATCGCATCTCGTGCGTTTTTACCAGAGGTTAATGAAAACTTAGCTACCAATTCTAAATAATTTTTCATTTGTGCTGACTCTACGCTATGCTATAATTGTCGATTTTTCATTTGTGATGACAATCAACTTTGAAGAGAAGGATGCTAATTTAACTCGATATTGACTGTTGACCTACAATCCTACATATCACATAATGGAAAACAAACACGTAACGGTAATATTTTAACCAATTACTTTCCCAACGAGGCACATTAGCAAAACAATAAAATTGCTATTTATGTGACCTATTTAAGTGAATGTAGGTACTTACTACTCGTATACTGTCAACGCGTTAACTGTTCTTGTAAGGTAAGGGAACTTCTAAAAAATCATACAATACCATAAAAAAGGAATTTTATGAACTGACGAGGAAAATGTAAACGTGTCAATGCAGTTGTTATAACTTGTTGTATGTTGTATAACTATTTGGTATTCGAAGCAGTTGGGCCATCAAAGTAAAAATGTTACTTAGGTATAGTTAAAATGGTAGACTGTATAATATTATAATAATACCTAACTACTCTCAAGCTCTAAAAAAATATTTCCTTCACAAAGTTTTTCTTAGTCAATTAAGTAGATTGGAACCTCAATTTAAGCAAAAAATGCCTGTTTGGAGAGTCATAATGTTAAATCATTTTGTCCCGTAAGAAGTTTACATTGTTTGAAAACAGCCCGAAAGAAATACGTAGGTAGGTATTAATGAAGGACGTATTCATTATTATTAATTGCATATTCCTGGTCATAAGGTTTATATTTTCCGCACATAAATAATATAGCGGCCGGGAAATGTATTTTATATGGCCTTAGAATCGACCTTTACATGGAAATGGTAGAGGTAAAAGGTATAAAAATACCTACTCTAGAAGACAGAGCATTGACTTTAGAGGGTAAATGTACTTAATTCAAAGTCGTAAACTTGTTTAAGTACGTGTGAGAAATGTACAAAGAACCGGATACCTTTTTTGTACGTTGACCTTCCATATCTTCATCAAAACTAGAGTAAACTACTAATGCCCGTTTTCACCAAAAATCCCTAATTTTTAAGTGACCCCTATGGTAACACATACAGGCATTTGTTTTTATAGGGGTCACTTAAAAATTTGGAACTGATGGTGAAAACGGGCATAAGTCTGCCAGGAGTGTCCATACTGGGATACTTCATAATTTATTATGCTTTACTAGAGTATGTATTTAAATTATTTTGTGTCATCCTCATAATCTTTACACCTATGGTACAAAGTAAGTACGTTTTTTATGCCCAATATAATTAGATCAAATCTTCCATTTACCTGTGGTTTTGAGAGGGATGTCCTCCTGCAGTGGAAACTAACGGCCGTTTTCACCATCAATCCCTAATTTTTAAGTGGCCCTTACGGCAACACATAACAAGCATTTTGTTTTCATAGGGGTCACTTAAAAATTAGGGATTGATGGTAAAAAAGGGCATAAATGAACTAATGATGGTTTGAACGCAAGGCCCGCAACGTATCGCATGAGAACACGGTGCGTTTCATCGGCGCGTGCGTCGACTGCCCGCTGGTGTTCGTGCTGACGGAATACTGCCCTAAGGGCTCGCTGAAGGACGTCCTGGCCAACGAGGAGCTGCAGCTCGACTGGAACTTCAGGACGTCGCTGGTGCATGACATTGTGCAGGTCAGTGGGTGATTTCTCTTTCTTCTTAGTCGGGCACTTGTCAGAGTGGTCGTGGTTGCCTTGACGAGGTACACTGTGGAGTGTTCGGTGTCATCTCCGAGGCTAGCTCTCCTGGCGATGTGCTTCCATTTCTGACGGTTAGATGCGTCGCGAGTACACTGAACCATGGTGGTCTCAGGGTTGTGGACTCGAGGGTCCTGTAGTGGAAACTAAATGACCTGATGATGACGAACGCAAGGCCCGCAAGGATCGGCGCGTGCGTCGACTGCCTGGTGTTCTTGCTGACGGAGTAGGTACTGCCCCAAGGGCTCGTTGTAGGATCTTCTTGCTAATGAGAAGCTGCAGCTCGACTGGAACTTCAGGACGTCGTTGGTGCATGACATTGTGCAGGTCAGTGCGATATTAATTTTAGTATATCTTGAGGTTGAGAGAAAAGTATCCCGTAAAAATATTTGTTACAGTTTAGAGTACAAGATAGTTCAAAATCCAATTCAAGCATCTCGAAGTTAGAATTATCTAAACGTAGAATTACTTTATATCACGATAAAATGAAATTATGAATAGCCTTTAAGTAGCTTCTTTGCTATCATACGAATAACAATCTCGAATTGGATTACCTGTTGCACTGTATTCGGATTTTACTGTTATTATTAACAACTAACTTCACTGGACTGACCGCATCAATCCACAGTTTATTATATCTGAAGCTGTCTACTCAAATCTCTTCGCTCCACATTAAGTTCACTCAACAAATTACATATCTCACCAAATCGCTTTTGCCTAAATTCCATAAACCATAGGAATGTTGAACTGATTCCATGACGCGTGGGTGCGAGGTGTCATTAGTTTGGAATTGAAACGGTACGCAGTTCTCGTCTCAGTTGATTACGGGCGATAATAGAACGAAATTAAGCTAGACTAGTAGACTGACATTAGGTAGGCATACGTTAAATAAATTAACTAGGTACATCATATTTAGAATCTGGTTTTTAGTGCTGGAAGGCAAAAGAACAAGCATTTGACTGGGACGGGCGATAGGGTTATCGCCTTTACACCTTTATTGGTTGTGATTGTGACCATATTCTCACAGAATTCACAGAAACGGTATGCTTAGGAAGGCTGTAATGTTATTGTTATGTCGTTATACCGAGAAATATTTAACTCTGATCTAAGTTCATGATATTATGTTATGTTATGTTATGTTATAGAGCCTCAAGCGTAGGTATGTTGTTTGTTTCTAAGTTTGTACCACGCGTAGAGTTCTGTGCTGTTTTAATTCTTGGCGTCACTTTCATTATCGTTCTTTAATCAAGTTCTTTGTTCTTAAAAAGTTAAATACAGTTCACGTAGTGAGAATGAAATGAAATGCTATTTAGAATAGTAGGTAGAGTCTTTGTGTAATTGAGAGACTTGCAATGCATATCGTTTCATTGACATACCGGTCCTTGTGGAAATCCTTGCGGGAGGCCTTTTTCCAGCAGTAGACGTCATTTGATTGACACGAACGAACATCCTACTTTTTAATGTAAATTTAAACACGCATGCATAAATTGGAGTATTTTTTATCGTTGTACTAAATGGCTATTTTGAATTACTATTGTATAATGTTTCTTAGGGAATGTGCTACCTCCACGGCGGGCTCGGCGCCCATGGAAAGCTGCGTTCCTCCAACTGCCTCATCGATGGACGCTTCGTGCTTAAGATCTCGGACTACGGGCTCACCACGCTGTGCACCCCCACCGACTTGATTAAAGACGACACGTACTACTACAGTAAGAGCCAAAGCACCCGATGCGATGCGGCGCCGCATCGCAAAGATTTCGCGTAGATTTAGGTCATATATACTGTGATTTAGCCTAGATTTAGCTCATATATACTGTGATTTAGCCTTATCGCGCGACGCGGCGCCGCACCGCTCGTGTGCCCGCCATAGGAGGCCTACCGGACTATTCTTACCTATCGTTCTCACCGCTGCAACTGCTGTTTAGCCAGGATCTTGACCGCTATAAAAACTCAACCAATGAAGGTCAAGTTTGTCCCGGGGGAAAGTGAAACTGTCATTGGACTCGCAACGAAATTAATCAGAAGAACATAGGAGGAGTTCGAAGTTGAGGTTCGACTTCCCTCCACAGATAGGAGGCATGTAGCGATAGATAGGCTCCTTGCTTTCTGGGGGGATCTAGGGTGGTTGAAGTAGGAAGATAAACCACATATCACGCACAATGGCCCAATCAAAGGCTTTTCAATTGCTCTCCAAAAGTAACTAGGTATCTAACCTTGCTCCATCTTACTTTAACTTTAACAAACGTCAAAAATCTGTCAAACTCCATACATAAAACACCGGTAACCGTTATAGTTACCGTTAAAGTTAGGTTGTGAAACTCAGCCTAAATGTGACAATGCAGCGACACCGCTGCGTCGTCGCACCGCCGCCGCAATGCATCATGTGCTTTGGCTCTTATTATCTCTAATGAATTCGGTCTGTGGAAGTTAACGCTTGATGTCGTAGATGAGAATTCGAGGTAAACGGATAATGTGTAGTAATTAAATCTGATAAAGGTACTCTCGGTATTCGTGTCTGAGTTCACATTTCAGAATAGACTAAAAGCGTATTAATGATTACGCGCCTATGTTAATTCCTTTTGATAATAATCGCTATTTGATAAGGCTGTATTATTAATTCCTTTTGATAATAAATTGCCATTTGATTAGGACTGTTCGAAATCCACTGAGTCGTTATGCCAGTTTATAACTTTCAAAAAATGATAGCACACTTTCAGAATCATTTTTAACGCTAACGATCGAAGAAGATTGTTAGCATGTAAAGAAAGATTTGGAGATTTTAGTTTAGATTTCATTTCAAAGTAAAGCTCCGGCGGTATTAAACATTTTTTTTTCCGGGCAACTTTTTCCTGTTTGTTTCGTAATAAGACGTAAGAATAACAATTAGTAGATCGTTTCATCCACGAAGACGCGCCCCACCATTCTTCTGCTAATGTTTTAGTGTTATCGATACACGCTAAATCATCTATGAGTGCACACGCACACTACAATATTGACGCTCGGATTGCTCGGATCAAACTCCCCGCACCCCGCGCTTCCCTGGACCACGTCTTCGTGGATGAAACGATCTACATTTTTGCTAAGAACACCTTTAACTCCAACTTCTTAGAACTGCTATGGACAGCTCCCGAGCTTCTCACAAGCAGCGTGTACCCGGGGGCGGCGGCGTCGCTCAAGGGAGACGTGTACAGCTTCGGCATCATCCTCGAAGAGATCGTGCTGAGAGCCGGACCCTTTCATCATTATACGCCCTCTTTATCGAACAAAGGTAAGAAGGCAATTAAGAACTTTGTACTTTCACAATATTTCAATTCTATTCTAGTTGGAGCTTGCTTGTGTTTTGATCTTTATAATGAGTTTGAAATGTTTTCATTGCCTTATTAAAATTTTAATTAACTATCTATTAGCATTCCGTAGCCGTTTTAACCGTTCTATCTCTATCTTCCACAAATACACTGTTTCTTCCTTCCTAGCTTTAGGAATAGAACCACTAAAATGTGCACGCGAGTCCTCGCCACCAATCATGTCATTCATACATGTCGCTATACATTTGTGTTGAGTTAGCATCACAGGCGTATTTTTTTACCACCAAAGCAAATTCCCCTCTTTCTCCATAGACTGTGTTCTCGCGTAAGTCGCCGCCCTGCACTCTGTTTCTGGTCTGGTCTTTTCTGCGTCCTTCAAGACCTGCACCTTAGTCCTGGGCACCGCTTTAGTTGCATCACTGAGACAGGTTCTCAGTTCCCACTGTCAAAGGAAACCCTCGATGTCTCTAGAAACAGTGTCCCACACCCGCGTATGTGCCCGCGAATCGCCACTTTTCAGACTAGTGATGCAGTAAGAGAGCGAGTCGCCGCTAAAAAGCGGTGCTAGATGCTGATGACAGACCTTCAATTTACCCCGTCAAAGCAAATTCCTCCCTATCTCCTTAGAAATAGTGTCCCGCGTGTGTGCGCGCGAATTGCCACTTTTCAGACTGGTGGTAGAGAGCGAGCCGCTGTAGAGTTGTGCTAGATGCTGATGACATGCACGTTCCTATCAAAGCAAACTCCCCTCTATCTCCTTAGAAATAGTGTCCCACGTGTGTACGCATCAGTCACCATCCGGCTAATGGTATGCGTGGGCGAGGCAGGCGCCGTGACATGCCGTTATAGATTTGTGTTGGGTGCTGATGACATGCCAGTTCTTGTCAAAGCAAACTCCCCTCTATCTCCTTAGAAATAGTGTCCCGCGTGTGTGCGCGGGAGTCGCCGCCCTTCAGACCAGTGGTGTGCGCGGGGGAGGCGGGCGCGGGCGCGGGCGGCGGAGCGGCGGCGGAGCTTCTGGACCTGGCCGCCCGGTGCTGGACGGAGGCGCCCGATGACAGACCCTCGTTTGACACCATCAACGCTACTTATATCAAGTAAGTGACCAGTTCATGTGGGACTTAGAAGAGGCCTTTGTCCAGAAGTGGACGTCTTTCGGTTGAAAAGTAGTGCTAAACGAAGATTCACCAAAGCCGGCGTGTATAGGCGCTCTACATATTTTTGAGACATATAGTAAAATACGATACCTTTTCTCAATAATAATGAGTGCGTGAGTGAGATACGAACGAGTCCTAATAAGTAAAGCAGTCAAAGAAGTACATATTAGAACGTGAAACTTTTTTATAAGAGTTTGATTTTAGTCTTCTAACTTCTAACAGCATAATAACGTTGGCACATGTTTAGTACCAATCGATCGACTCTTAACTAGGTGTTAGAAACGTCCACTCGTAATTTCTGTGATACCTAAGTATTTGAATTAATGGTATGCGGACAATAATTACAATTACTTCAAAGGGGATACTGCGATAACCTGATGGACGACCTGCTAAGCCGCATGGAACAGTACGCCAACAACCTCGAGTCGCTGGTGGAGGAGAAAACAGAACAGCTCTCTTTGGAAAAGAGGCGCTCCGAAGAACTATTGTACCAAGTGCTACCAAGGTACTGTACTATTTGAAGCCGAGATTTCTTATACTTACAGATACTTACAGATACTTACTAACCTATCTTGTATTTATAAAAATCAATAATAATTGCTGTTCGTTAGTCTCGCTAAAACTCGAGAACGGTTGAACCGCTTTGGCTGATTTTTGTTTAGAAATGTTTGTGGTAGTCCAGGGAAGGTTTAAAAGTTGAGAAAACGATTTTTGCAACAGAAAAAATATGGTGGTACGATGTTCGCCGGGTCAGCTAGTTAACATAATTAATCAACTATTACATGCTGTTTCTTTTATAGTGGTTATACCTATTTTCTTGCAATAAAATCAATTTCAAAATAGAATACGTGGAGCAAATAGTAAAAAAACAAACTGATTAACTTATGTATCTATAACTTAATACTTACACGTTGTGTAAAAATATTTTTGCATCAACTTCGCGTACCCTTTTGTATGCATGGACGCGCATTAATAATTCGGTTTCCATTATTTGCGCTGAGTACGTGTTAAAATTCCAAAAAAGCTGATTTAATGTTTGAGCGCGCATTCTAATGACGCCTGCTATTTCCACTGAATTTCAGCAGACTGGCATTTTCCTTTTGTCGACGTATTGAAACGTTAATTTTAGGTAAACATCTAATTATTTTATAAATCGTTCTCGTTTATTATTGAAATGTTTCGGCCCTATGACAAATAAGTAGAAATTAGATTGGGTTGTTGACCATTAATGAATAATTCCATACACTTCAATTTGGCCCAGACAATCGAGTTAGTTTCCAATTTTCAGCTTAGATAATTAGTTTTAAAATCAATAAATAGTTACTTTGGTTTACGAACTAGGTAAATCAAATCAAATAATAATCTGTAGATACTTACTATACACGGGCTGGAAGACGTAGCGTGGGTAGGCCTCCTACTAGGTGGACCGACGATCTAGTAAAGGTCGCGGGAAGAGCCTGGATGCGGAGAGCCCTGGACCGGTCGTTAAGGAAATCCTTGGGCGAGGCCTTTGTCCAGCATTGAACGTCTTTGGCTGAAACGAAATGCAGTCGTCAAATTGTAATAGAGACTATTTTGCAATAAAAATGCCTATTGTGCTGTCGACTCCACAAAGAAGTCTTTGCCATCCGATGCCCTTACCACCAGGCCAGTAGCGCAGCAGCTGATGGCAGGCGAGATGGTGCAGCCAGAGAGCTTCGAATGCGTGACGGTGTACTTCAGCGACATCGTCGGCTTTACCGAGCTCTGCGCCGCTTCCACCCCCATCCAGGTGGTCGACTTGCTGAATGACCTGTACAGCACCTTCGACAGGATCATTGGGTTCTATGACGTTTATAAGGTGAGGATTTTACTGGAATATTTTCTTTGTGAAGTTGTAAATTTTCCCGTACACAATGATTTACTGTAGGTACTTAGTAGTGACTTTTTTGGATGAAAAATACAGTATCTAATTTTTACATGTTGCACTTTGTTGCTCCACTATTTTGGCACCACATATCGGTAAAGCCCTGTTTCACCGGTATCACCTGTTTTGAAATCATTTAATTTGCTGGTGTCATAAAATTAATGTTAGAAATTTCATATTTTAAACTGAAAGTTCTGTATCACTGGTTCCTGCTTCCTGATAAAGTTTCAGAAAGTTTATCTGACAACTTAGTTCCTATGCTTTATCATCTAGCAAACCGGCCTTTCATCTTTTAATCCAAGCGTGACTCTTTCAAAAGACACAATTACCATAGGTGGAGACAATAGGCGACGCGTACATGGTGGTGTCAGGCCTGCCGGAGCGCAACGGGGACATGCATGCTCGGGAGATCTGCCTCATGGCGCTCGCAGTCGTGGAGGCTGTCAGGAGCTTCGTAGTGAGGCACCGCCCCACGCATCGGCTGGAGGTAACGTTACTAAAAGACACAATTAACAATAAGCTCAATAAGGTGGAGACAATAGGCGACGCGAATATGGTGGTGTCAGGCCTGCCGGATCGCAACGGGGATATGCACGCTCGGGAGATCTGCCTCATGGCGCTCGCAGTCGTGGAGGCCGTCAGGAGCTTCGTGGTGAGGCACCGCCCCACGCATCGGCTGGAGGTAACGTTACTAAAAGACACAATTAACAATAAGCTCAATAAGGTGGAGACAATAGGCGACGCGAATATGGTGGTGTCAGGCCTGCCGGATCGCAACGGGGATATGCACGCTCGGGAGATCTGCCTTATGGTGGAGGCGGTCAGGAGCTTCGTGGTGAGGCACCGCCCCACGCATCGGCTGGAGGTAACGTTACATAAAAGACACAATTCCCAATCCACCCATAAAGGTGGAGACAGTAGGCGACGCGTAGGTACATGGTGGTATCAGGCCTTCTCAAGCGCGACGGAGACATGCACGCTCGGGAGATCTGCCTCATGGTGGAGGCCGTCAGGAGCTTCGTAGTGAGGCACCGCCCCACGCATTGGTTGGAGGTAACGTTATTAACTCTGTGAGTTATTGACCTCTATGCGTTTCTTCCCCTTATTATCAATAAGGTGGAGACAATAGGCGACGCGCACATGGTGGTGTCAGGCCTGTCGGAGCGCAACGGGGACATAAACGCTCGCGAGATCTGCCTCATGGTGGAGGCCGTCAGGAGCTTCGTAGTGAGGCACCGCCCCACTCATCGGCTGGAGGTAACGTTACTTAAGTCTGTGAGTAATGACCTCTAAGCACTTCTGCCCCTTATTACCAATAAGGTGGAGACAATAGGCGACGCGTACATGGTGGGTTCAGGCCTGCCCCCCAGGTCGTGGTGGTCTGTGTGGTGTACGTATACAGGAGACGTATTTTTGAGTTCGAACAAATATTTCAATTATTTCATTGATTATTTTACCTTTTTAAACTATGAATACTCGTACCTGCCTGGCATTAGTATTTATTATTAGCTTAATTTCAGTAAAGCATACTATTCTATCTAGAATTCTGTGTGGGCAGTGATGCAGTAATGTGACGTCCCGGCTTATCGCAAGATTAAGCCTATTTCAGTGACTCGTAGATGAGATTACAGTTAGGGTCTATGCACACTATGTTTTTTCAGGCACCTTTTACGATCACGCGTTTGCTGCGCTGCTAAATTAGATTACGTACTTTGCTGCAGAGTTACATTGATTGCGATAACATCACGAACACAGCGCGTTCCATTTGCATGATACGCGCATTGACGGCGCCTAGAGAACACGCGATGAGCATGGGCCCTAATTGTCCTACAGTTTTATATCATGTGTAGGGTTATATGAACAGTTCTATTCTGTTCTGTCGTATAGGTACGCGTGGGAGTGCATTCAGGCCCGGTATGCGCGGGCGTGGTGGGCGTGAAGATGCCGCACTATTGCCTGTTCGGGGACACCGTCAACACGGCCAGCCGCATGGAGTCTGCTGGACAACGTATGTGTTAATATCCGAGCTAAACACAAACCATATTATGTAGTTGTATTAGGTCATATTTTGTAACGAAAAAGTATAGTGATGTGCCGACAATGATGTGTGTTTCTACACTACAACAGCCCCTAGACATACCCTAGACAAGTGGCAAAACATAACAGTTGTAATGTCAAAAGACCTTAGCTCCGGCGTTTTCTTGTGTGGAGTTATCGCTCCGTGAACGGATTTGATTTTCGATTTGCTCAAAAAGTGCCACTTGTCTAGACCTACAAAAGATACAGACGACAGTGTGTCAACTGTGTGACAAATACACTATGGAGTATTGTAGATTGTTATAGATAAGTTTGTAAGTAAATATAAGAATTATTTTGAGAGGCATGGTTCAGTAATCGAGCGGAGGTCAATAAAAAGGCAATCAAACAGTCCAATTACTAGCACGGGTCAACACAAATCAATCGGTTATTGATCACGAAACTTCACAAAAAAACAAAGGAGAGAATATGTCGACAGATCGCCAAAGCAAAAACCAGACAGACCTCGTATAAAAACACAATATTAAAAAAAATACATATCTATTTGTTTGTAACCAAATTCTATTATTAAAATTCTAAGGCTGAGTTGCACTATCTTACTTTAACTTTAACAAACGTCAAAATTCTGTCAAACTCCATACAAAAAGCACCGGTTACCGTTATAGTTACGGTCAAAGTTAGGTGGTGCAACTCAGCCTAAAACTAAGAAAGATTGAAGAAAAAGAAACATTTCGTTTTAAACCTTAACCGTATGACAATAAAGTGCACAATGGTATTTCGTATTGCAACCTAAGCCCTGATTGTCTCTTATTGGTCGTAGTAAAAATATAGTAAAATGCGTAACCAATTAGAGACGGGGTGAGCACGTGACCGGAGCGATGCGCTTACGCTAAAATTTCTACAAAGTGGTTAGGCGGAAGAGTCCCCGATAGTACTCGTAATAGGTGGTGTTTTGTAAAAGAAATCTCTGATATGCTGTCAATTGCTGTCGTCGGTACAAAGTAATTTGATAGTATGGGCGCCAGTCCGACACATAAAGCTTAATATGTTGCATAATATGAAGTTGTTTGATTTTGTATCAAAATTGCGACTGTGTTTACCATGTTTACTAACTGCTACAATTAAATTGAAATCTGTTATTATTTTCTACTGCTTTATTTGTGATTGGTGCATGGTCTTTGCTAATATCTAGTTCTTTCCAGCTCTCCGTATCCACCTAAGTGAGAGCACACGAGCATTACTCGAACAGTGGGGCACATTCGTCGTCGAGCGCCGAGGGGAGGTTGAACTGAAAGGACGCGGACGAATGCTGACCCACTGGCTGCTACACTGCTCTGAGCCCGAAGCGAGGATGGTGGCGCAAGGGCCCCAGCCTCCCCCACAATACCCTATCTTGTTCCCATCGCTGCCTCAGCCACCTATGTCGCTGCAAGTCCCGTATTTAGTGGTGGAACCACCTACGTTAGCTGCTTAGGCTATGGAAGATACTTAAATCGAAAGACACGGGTCTTAACTTCTGCAGCCTGCAATCTGCTTGTGACCACTTCTGCATGTGCAGCATAGCAGCTAAAACGTCAAGCCGTGAGTACATAATGTAACTCATTCATATACGTCACGTAAAGACCCGTTTCTTTCTATTTTACTTGAAATGGAACGCGAAAGTTTAAAATCCCACCAAAAACATTCTGTAAAAAACTAGCCAAGTCTCGATGGAGCTGCTTGTTTATCTCTAAAAAGTAATGAAATCTAGACAAAGTCGTGCCAAGTCTATGGTTCTTTACTGCGATTTCTTTTTTATTATAGTTAATGTTGTGTGACTTGGCCGTTGAAGGAAAAAAAATCTGGACACCGCGGTGCAGAAAATCGACGCTCAAAGTGCTAGCGCCATCTAGCGGTGAGCGGTACAGGCGAACACCACGGTGCCGGTGTGGCGCTAGTAGTATTGATTATTATGAATGTGGTGTTACTCCAGATCTTCGATTTTCCTAGTTTTGATAGTTTTCCCTTTATGTGGCCATTAAACCCTAACTCTGTACCAAATTTCAGCTCTCTGAGTTAATGGGAAGTACTAGTTCTATTTTGATGATCATCAGTGAGTGAGTGAGTGTCATAAATGCGAAACTTTGCTTTCGCTTAACTTCGGAACTAATTGACCTACAGACTTGAAATTTTGGATTTTAAGTGTGTGATTATAGCTTACTAGATGACGAAAATTTCTGCGTTCTGGTCTTATCTAAAGGTTCTCAAATAGAGGCCTGAAAATGCGGCGAAATGGTTCCAGTAAAGGATGGTACGGCAGTGTTTGCTTCGCGCTCGACTTGGCGGGGGCACTACCGTGCCCCCAGATCTTATATGGAAGATACTTATTTTGCAGTTAAACGTGTATCATGAATTGACATTGTTAAAGGTTCCTTGCTTTATTCCATGTTATGAAAATGAAGGTAAAAGAATGGTTTTAATGTCACCGTTTCTCTTATTGTCACATGACATTTACTAATTTGCATGTAAATAATTAACTACTTAACTATAATAAGTAATTAACTAATTTGCATAAAATGGCTCCTGAGCCATCGCACAAATTAGTACAGGAAAAGTCGCTGAATAGAGCTTATTACTGAACTTACAGAAATCAAAATATACCTAGGTATAACGTAGAGAACGTTCTCAGTCAGTTTTTTTGCTCAAAATGGAATCTACGTATTCAAGAAATGCTTTGAGAACCTGCTCAAAAATATACACTCGACATCAAATAAATCGCACCTCCCGCGACAAGCATTTTCAAACGTATGCATCCCCACTTCCCACCAATATTGGCACCTTTTAAAAGCCTAGTTCTAACCTTCATTTCATTAAAGGAAAGGTTTTTACCCCAAAAATGTGTCTTTAGAAGGATCCAGAGTCACTTCTTCAAAAAATAGGTAGTTACGCTAAAGCCAACTTTTATGGCTATAAAACTGTTAAGTTGGGATTAATCGCTATCCATCTGTTAAAGAGGACACGTGAGATCATTAATTGGTTTTATAACCATAAAAATTGGTCTAATTGATCCCATAGGTGGGCCCAAAGTGAGGTATTTTTTCAAGTCACATTTATGGTACATGTTAATCATTTATTAAGAAATTAAATGTGTTTTTCTTCAAGTTTATTTATTGGGCTTTCAAATAACACCAATATTGTTGGGGCACCATGACTGTGTCAGAAGAAAATCGTTAAAGTTCGCGTCTCGGAAGGTGCGGTTTATTTGATGTTGAGTATATATCGTTCCAGCCTCTTTAACAACTCGAAATTCCTTTAGTAATAAAATTCCGGCTTTGGCAGCTGACCTAAAAGTATCTAGATCGGAACTTAGTGCCCATTGGATAAGTTCAACCCTCGATAGTGATGCCCTCGGGACTAAAGGCCGATACAACGGATTACGTTAGACTATCTCAGAGATCAATTGCTGGAGATAGTGTACACTCATTAGTTCTAGAGCTCGGGGATCGACTTAGGATGGCTGCGACGTATTACAGGCTTAGTTAGTGCCTAGTCGCTAAAGGAGAGTTTAGTTTTTAAATAAACGCTTGGCGATTCTTTGATTTAGTACATAATACAAGCTGGTTTTAAAAATATGAAAATGTTTTCTTTGTTCTTTCAATGACGTGTTTTGAAACAATGCCACTTACAAAATGACCCAAAAAGTCTAGAAACTTTTGTAATCTATAAAATTTTGAAGCCTGCCTATAACTAAATAAGTTTTCCTTATTTTTAAGGTCTACAAAAACACCTAAAAGAAACCTCATGAATGAACTTATAAAAAAACAATTTTGAAAATTATGGCACTTAGTCCCTTGTTATAAAACTGATAAGATGAAGCTGTTCTTGTATTTATTATTATTATTCATACCATACCATTCAGTATTAATACATTTCTATATATTTTGTATTCTAAAAAGCATACGAAGCATACCAGACTGAATGTTACAGTACAACTCACTCCATGTCGTTCCCCCTAAGCGGATTTAGCATAAATTAAATGAAACTAGTTAATGGGACGACATAATGGCTCATAAGATTTACATCTCGGCGCCAAGCCGTTTGCATTAACCGGGCTTGCACAAGCGTGAACAGTCTGTATTTGAAAAGGCTATGGACAGTGAAAATTACACGTTATTCTACCGTATAGATATATTGTTGCTTATTTTAAATCTTTAATTATAATTTTGGCATAAATCAATATTTATGTGACCATTATGCGCCTATATTGTAACTAATCTATATATATAAAAATGAAACCCGTTTCGCGTTGTCACGGCATCACGTGTGAACGGCTGAACCGATTTCGATAATTCTTTTTTTTTAATGTTTGTGGAAGTCCAAGGATGGTTCTTACGGAAAAAAATATTAAGAAAATCTCTACGCTAAGGCGGTACGAAGTTCGCCGGGTCAGCTAGTAAGTAAAACAAATGAACAGTGTTAGGCTTAGATACTTTACGCCCGTATTCAAAACATTACTATGAGGTCTCACAGTGTGCATGGACGCACAGGGTGACACATTGATAGCCATCTCTGCACGCCGGCTGATCGCGTTGGTTTGTCTGAACCTTTACAGAGCTCTATTCAACGCTGTGCGTTCGATTTGGTGCTTTACTTAAGCAAGTATCGTTTGTGAATGCGGGCGTTATTTTGGAACATAATAAAATATATTTACGAAAGTTAAACTTGAGTGGTTTGTTAAATTATTACTGAAAATCTTGAGGAAAATTTTCGATTAAAATGTAAATTTTTGTATGGCTGGATTCCTATAATGGTCACAATCCTATTTACCTATGGTAGAGTGAATGCCCAACATGAAATTTGTGAATTTTAAGTCTTCTCGGCAGAACAATTTTATTTATTATTGTCTGTGTGTTTTAAATAAACGTTTTTCTATTGAAGTGTAGGTTTTTCATGCGTTTAGATTATTTTGAAATCATTATATTAAGCTGTGCTTTAATTTTATTATGATGTTTTGCCTATTTTAATTATGTTCTATCTGTATAAGAAACCGATATTATGTAATTTTAAACGGTAATGTGCCAATGTAGAAAATTATATAAAAAATATTAAATCAATATGAAGCTACTTTATTTAATACTTTTATAACGAGATAAGCATTTAAATGTTATTAACTATGAATAGGCATAAGTATATTGAATATCATGTATAATTAAGCATCTATTTTTATATGAATGTTGTACATTATATTGCTTAATAACTGCAACTAGCATTATGTATAAGTTAACTAACGTAGTGGTTTTTATTATTTTTAGAGTCAATTATTATGAAATAATAACAAGAGATGCATTATTTAACTCGAATACATGAAAAAATATTTTAAAACGTGTTTTATTTCTTATATTAGATATGTACTATGAGACAGAAAAATGTGACGTTAACGATTAGGTAGGTAAACCAAACTCTACACTAATTCAAAAGTCACACAAGTCTACGTAAAATCACAACGAAACAGAAACTTTATTTCTAACTATTTGACTTTAAATGGACAGCAATTTTATAAGAGAGCTCTTAAAACTTACTTCAGGCATTAAATTACGGCGTAATCGAATCAGCAACAAAGTAGGTAACTAGGGTCTAAAATATTTCGTTTCGTTTCAAAGGCCTATTTTATAAACGAAGGGCATTTCGCGTTACGTTGTTCAATGAATTTGTATCTCATTAGTTCCAACACAAAAACAACTCCAGATATTAAAGTACCTAAAGCTAGACACAAAAGGCAACTTGCCGTTTGTTCTTGAGTAAGGGCCGAGGGATCAGAGGATGTAACCACCGAGAAAGTAGGCTTCAAAACTACTTCACGTTCCAGTAGGCCCGCTTCGATCAAACGAGGTAACCAGGCAGACAGTGGCCGCACGAATGGAGACTGACTCTTCATCCAAACCACCAACGGAACAGTCATGATAGAATCCGGAAGAATATGGCCACAAGAATCTTCCTTCTTCCCTTGAGACATACAATACGCCCAAGCGTATTCCAAAGACGTAGCCAACACGAACTCAGATCTACCTTCAACCACTTCAGTGAACACATCATCGAATCTCTCTTCTGGTATTATTTCAAACCCATCCCTAATCATCTCGTCGCGCTCAAAATGAGTGAGAATACCACCCCTCCCACCAAATCGGTAGCCTCTATCCACAGCTTCTTTCAGGTTCACAAAGTTCCCCATCATCGCGTCAGTTTTCAGTGCGACTATTAGCACGCTCTGATACGCACTCCTAATTACAAAAGTGAACCACAACCATAAAGCGATGATGTAGAAATCTCTAAACTTCTTTGGAGCCATACGAATTGGTTGTCCCATAAATATACCCCACGACCGAAATACAACTCCGTGCAATTTGTCAAAGTTCCGGAAGTATCGACGACAAAACCTTTTCACTGGTTTTAATTCCCAAATAAACGGAACAGACTTCACAAAGAATGACACGGACATAAGGAATGCCCATAAATATCCGTTGAGTGGGAACAGCAGTCGCCACCAAACTGGCCCAGGGCGCACGGGTGGAGCCAACCAAGCCAAGCGTACTCTGAAGTACGGTATTGAGTAATCCAGAAACCCCATTCGGTCAACGCCAAGCGGGATCGTGCTCAGAGAAATATTTGCTACGCCAGTGATCAAGTCGTTGAGTGACACTGACCAGTTCTTAGCCCTGTCCGAGTCGATGCTGACGTAATCCCTCGTGGAGATTATTGGCGTAAAATTCATTATGTCCCTTAGTAACCTCACTATGGCCTTCTTTATTATCTGTAATGGGATCTTTTGTTCCGTATTCGGATGATATAATTTATTAGTCGAAACATAGAGCGGACATCCTCGCATGTTTAGCATTTTATCGGGGTAGATGTCATTACGTAGAGATTTATCGTCGCAGTAGCTTATTAAAGTGGGTAGAGTGTTCTGGCAATGTAAGTGATTTTTGAATGGGAAGTAGCTATACAACGCCGTTCTGTTTTTCTTGTCAGTCGCAATTACAACAACATTGATGACATAGTAGCTCCAGAGGAAACTTGTGATGCGCTCTATCCTTTTAGGACTTGAAAATACTATTATTATAAAATTAGCGCCACCGCTCATGACTGTTTTCCCACGGAGGTCAGGTTTAAGTCTCGATGTAATTTTTGCAAATGAATGAAATGATTCAACTATTATGACTACTTGTTTTGGCGGTGCAGCATCTCTCTTAGAATCAACAATCACCGATCCTTGGTAGTTCTTCAAAAAATTGTTAACGAATCTTTCATCCACATCTTTGTATAGAATGGCTGTGTGTAGTCTATAATCGAAATTTTCATTGGCTATTTTCACTGCGCAATTCACCACTCGATCCTGAGCTGCGGAAGTGTCCTCATATTTTATTTTTATAGTCGATAGAGCTGAGGTTATATGAAAGAAAGATGCTATCAATAGATAGCATCCAATATTCATAGCGCTAGTTAGAGGGTAGCTCTAGAAATCTGAGAAAATTTTCACATTGTAGCGTCTAAGCACACCGGGCAGCGCTGATTTAATGATCCATAATGTCCAGACAAAAAACTTTCATCATGTGCCAAAAAAGAAAAGCCTGTTGCTAACATTAATCATCCTTTGTTAAAAAATCCAATTTTGTTTCGCAGTTTTTCAGTTTCATTTTGATAGATGCATTTTTGATGTATGCGGTAAAAGCATGTCCTAACGAACGGTGGCGGTATTCTGTTACACTATACCTATTGTGTATGTTTGTTGAAATTTTATACTATAGGGTAGTAGAGGGAAGAAAGTTGAGGGATTTTGTGAATATTGAGTGTGTAATAGTTATGATACGATAAGCAATATCGAAAACATATGAAAAAGCGAGTAAAAATATGTAGATGAAAAATATTAGGAACAAATCTAAACTTCTATACTAATATCATAAATGCGAAAGTAAATCTGTCAGTCTGTCTGTCTTGCTTTCACGCCTAAACAACTGAACCGATTTTGATGAAATTTGTGAAGAGATAGTTTGAGTCCCAGGAAAAGACATAGGATAGTTTTTATCCCGGTATTTGAAACAGGGACGCGCGCGATAAAGGTTTTCTGTGACAGACAATATTCCAGGCGGGGGAAGCCGCGGGCGGAAAGATAGTACATAATATTCTCATTATGTAACATAAAATAGATAAGCCTACCTATTCAAAACAAATTTTCAAGTACCAGATAAGAAGAAAAGTAACAACCGTATATTTTTTAACTTTAATCACTTCATTAAAATTCTCCGTTACTTGTCAAATCGCCTCCCCTATATTATGGTATCCTAGCAACGAAAGGAGTACGTAAACAAATAGAGACGTAGCATTTGTTTTACTTAACGCGTTTATTTTGTGCCAGATACCTTTTTAAATCGTTTATGTGTAAACTTTTTTGCGTTTACCTACCTAAATAAACGTACATTTCGATTGATAAATGTGGGGAAGTTTAGGGAACATTTCTTGGCAAAGTGGGCAAAAGTTTCAGCACCTTGATGGCGATAAAGTCTGAAATGTTGTTTCATTTGTTGTTTATAATATTTGGGGTGAACAGTTTGGAAGTGCCTTGTAATAAGACGGAGTACTTTGAGCCAAGCCTGATGTCGTGCCAGGCCTGCCCTGCCAATGTTTCTCTCGTCGCGACGGTAGAAGGTGAGTGGGTTAAATCAAATCTCAAAGTTTATTGATAAACCTTGTTCGGTGCTTTGTTTTAATTGAAATCATTATCTTTTTAAGATGTAAATTGTAATCATCCTTTGAAATACATAACATAATTAACAAGGCAATGTTACTACCTATTAGATAAATAAGTTCAAGTAACTTGAATAATTTCACTCAACTACGAGTATATTAACAAAAATATCACCATTATTGTTACAATCTTAGGTACCTAGGTACTAAGATATTTTTTTTAAATACATTGCATTACATTTCCCTTGTTCATAGAACTTTTCATGACTACGAATGAAATTAAAAGCCGCCTATGACGTCACATATGTTTCAGGGTTCTCTTGCACTTGCGAGGATCACAGCGTGCCTGCCGGCATCGCAAGGTGCAAGCCGTGCAACGCCACCGAGGTAGTCTCTGCCGATGGATCCACGTGCGTGCCCAGAAAGTGCCAGAATAATTCTGGCAGAGTCGTCTGTAGGAAATGCCCTAGCAATGATTATATTTCTGGTAAGTAAAACCGTATATAATAGTTAGCAAAATTTTGTAGAGAACTGTGAAAATTCGCCCAAAGCCCTCCAGTTTTAGAAATGATGAAAAGTAAGTTGCTATGTAAAAGTACACTAGAGGTAAAATCACTATTAAATATCTTTGGACAATTTCATATAGTGCCTTCTAGCCCCAAAGTAAGCAATTAATATGCTTGTGATAAGGGTGCACTTACATATTTTTTTTAATAATTATGACAGATTATACATAGTAACACCCAGACCTCGTCACAGAAATTAAAATTCATCATTTCAATTTCTGCCCGGCCGGGAATCGAACCCGGGACCTCTCGGCATAGTGGTCCATTCTGTCCTACTGCACCAAACGGCCGACATAATTAATTAATAAATTTACTTATATTAAATACCTGTTCAGACTATTACTGTAACTAACTTCTTGTCCGTCAGTAACTCAAAACCTCGACGGTTCACCAACAAAAGAAGTTCTCTGCATAAAATGCGCGCGCGGCTTTAAACCGTTGAATAACGCCTGCGTACGATGTGACGGATGCGTTTGCGCACGCTCCGATGTGGTCGTGGGAGGAGCGTGCGTCCCCAAGCGATACGTCTCGGAGCGGCCTAAGTACGAAGACAGTCGCATCCACCCTTCAGTTCTGATGGATATTGTGAAATATGAGTATCGGTGTACGGTAAGTTGATTTTTCATTAGGTACATAGGTAATTTGGATATAAATAGTATAGTAATAAAATACAGGGTGGAAACGATAAGTGATCTCACTCGATTATTTCTAAACAGAAATATCGATTTTTTCGATATCTTCTATAGTTTTTAATATTATGTATTTTTACCAAATGTATGAAAGCTAGAAACATTGAATTTTCGAATATGTAGTTCCAGTTTATTCTGTAACCTATTATTGGTACCGTTTTAAAGAGCTTGTGAAGCACTTTCAGGATCAGTAACCAGTTTTTCGATATCTTGTTATGTTAGAAATAATCGAGTGAGATCACTTTATCGTTTCCACCCTGTATGTAACTAATGTAAGTATCACCTGTGGTATCACATCGTCTTCAGTGTAATTATTATTCTGTGGTGTAACTTAAACAATTAGGTAGTAAGTAGTAGTTGGAGAAAGATTTCCACGTAGGTACACACTACATGTCGACATTTAGTAATGCAAACTCATGAAGAAATAGGACGCTCTAATAATCCACTGTATATAAGAAGCCCTACTTAATTTTATACCTTGTTTAACACGTTGAGTGCGAAACCAGGTCTATAGACCTTGTGTACGTCTCGCTTACCGTGCGGCTAAGAAAATTATAGTTTTCCTTNATTACAGTGATAAATGCTATGGCTTATGATACCATATCAACTTTCCATAAGCACTTTACAACGTTGGCTCTACTATCCACATCATGCTACGCTGATCGACTCGTCACTCCATCTAGCGGGTGAGGAAACATCTCCTCGTAGCGCTTGCCAAATGTTTGCCTCGAAGCGCTGGTAGCGAGATTATTGGTATTTGTAGACAAACGGTCTTATTCATAATCATTTTTCACATTTTATCAAATGCTTATTAGAGGTTTATAAAACGTTTGATAAAAATTGTTATTCATAATCGTCATTTAGCGCTAAAATCCTCTTATAACTGTGTGATAAGTTATCGAGAGCTCGGGCCTTGTTTAAAGCTCTAATAAACCTATTTTAACCTAACTTTTATAAATGTCATTTCATATGAATGTCACTTCGTTGGTTTATTTATTCAAAATATCCTTGCTGTGATCCTTGCTTGTGAAAATGAATGCTATAAATGCAATTGTGCATTTAGCCAATAATGCCGACCCAGCGCGACGTAGAAAGCTCTACCGCCAACGAAGCAACCCATTCGATTTGCGGGACCTAAATTTTAAAATAAAATATAGGTTCAATAAGGACACAGTGCGCACCATCATAGATTTGGTGGAAGATGATCTGGTTCAGAGCGCTAGAGGTGGTGGCACGTGTCCTGAACTGCAAGTTTTAGTGGCCATAAGATGTTGGGGACGTCGTGAGGTAAGCACAAAAAAGTGTTTTATTTTATCCCTTTGTCGTGGCTGCTATAATTATTTTCATACATTTTCAGGTACAAGATGATGCTGGTGACCTCCATGGCCTAAGTCAGCCGACAGTGAGNACAATATCTATTAACATGAAGCCAAAAATAAAATTAATATATCTTAAATATTACAAGGTCTTTAAGCCTTGTGCCGCCACAATGTAAGTTTTAATACCAGGTTTAATGACCTTGTACCGAAGGAATGGAAAGTATTAGAAAGTTACTGCCGCAGCAAAGGTGTTAAAATATTAAACACTCACCCAGCTTATATCGATCACACTGGTGAAGTTGTTATTAATGGTATTATGAATGCTAATAAAATATGCCTTCTTAAGCCTACAAGGAAAAAGTTAGAGTAGGTAAGCATCTTGCGTAATTCACTTGATATGAAGATTAATTTGGAAAGGCTATCAAAGTGTACTCGTACCTATCTATAGAAATACACGTGTTGCGTCAGTTTTTCCTTAAAAGTTTGAGATTTATTTATATTGTTTTCAGAAAGGAGACGTTTTGGCCTGTCGGCTGTTAGCTGGTGAATGTGTCAGAAATTTTTATATTACGGACCTTGGGGGGCCTTGCAGACTTTGGCTACAAACGAAGATGGTTACTCCAAAAGGTACTTATTTAATGCCTGAAATCTGATTTTAGTGGGCAGATGATCTCATAACTAAAAGAATGGTGCAGTCCTGTTGTCCCCTCTGCTTGGCCCCCCTGGGGGAGCCATCAGGATTTCGAAATCCTGTTGGCTAGTGACGTCCTATGGCTGAAATGATGATGATGATGTCAACTGCTGAACACCTCCTGCAGGGGAGCCAACAGGATTTCGAAATCCTGTTGGCTCGGACCAGGGGGGCCAACCAGGGGGGACAACAGGACTGCACCAAAATAATGGGGCTGGATACAAGCCACTATCAGCGGTCAATCTGGATTATTAGGGGAGGTAGCAGGAGGTGTTCAGCAGTTGACATCATCATCATAATTTCAGCCATAGGACGTCCTGCTGAACATAGCCCCCCTCCCTAGTTAGCAGTAGACATAATGTGAAATGCTTATGATGATTTCACAGGCTCGTCCGGTCGATAAAATCGTGAAGAATCTCAATTGGCAATTATTCGTTTCGTTTGATATTCAAATGAATTAAGTTTTGGTTTCAGGTTTGCCGAAACTCTTGATTGACCCGACTTCAAATGACTTTAGGCCTGGAGAATTTGTTATGCCAAAGGCAAAGGTAAATGATTGATTAAATTAGTATTCGGTTATACAAACCTACCCATTTTCTAGGAGCTTGTTTATCTTAACTTATTTTGCTCTACGAAAATGTAGAGTTCATTTAGTGTTTAATTCAGTGATTTTATAGCCTGAAAACCTAAAGGATAAACTAATTTACATCTTATAAAATGGAAATTGGTATACTAGGTACAGTAGGTATGTTTTAAAAGCAATTTTGCGAAACTTCGTATGATGTGAATATTAGAAATTAACAATATCAATGAAAATTAAATTCTATTATAAATTTCCATAATTTTTCAGAATTTATCATTGGTGTTAGCAGTTTACACTTCTGAAGGAGGTTTCAAACTCATCGACTCTACTGACGACCGATGGTCACCATGTTCTTTGCCATTTGTAATACAAATCGGGAAAGATTTTTCGTAAGTGTTACTTACTTCGGAGGAACAAAAACTTACACTTTGGTAAAAAAATCTACAAAATCTTATAACTTTCAGAAGGGATTGTGATTTTAACTTCACAAAGTGGTCTCAGATAATTTTAAATAGCACTTTTGCTCCGTACGTCTACATGGATGAAGTGTTAAAGCCTCTACCTCTCACAGTACGCACTCCCAGCGATAATTATATTCAGGTAAGTTAATAACTGCTTGATTACATTATTTCTCCATTCAACTATAAAATGAAAAAACTACTATTATTACTAAAATTAAACCAAAATCTTTATGTTTTGAAAAATGTCCTCCGTTACTTAAATATCCCTAATTTAATGCTTAGAAAAACTTTCGATCTTATAATGCAAACAGCTATGGACTGGAATTCGCTGCCTGCTGCTGTCTTTGCCCAACACTATAATCCGGGCCATTTCAAGGCGAGAGTGAGGCACTTTCAGGGCAGGTATTACCATCCTAGACTGAATCTCACTTAACACCAGGTGCGATCGCGGTCAAATACCTGCCTTGTTATGCATAAGAAAAAAAAACTAATTTACTACCTGATTGAGGGTTACCAATATGAAAATTCAAAAATTGCCGCTAAACACATTTCAATGTGTAAAATGTAGCTTTATTTTCCCAAATTACAGAGAGGGTCCTGGAAGTCGGCAGATTTCATGCGATACTTTGTCATGCACAGCGTCCTCTCGTCGACCACCAATGTCACCAGCACTGTCTACCTACGAAAACTCTCCGCCAGAGTTCGGTGAGAATTAACATAAGAAATTAACATTCACAAAGGTGCCTATTAACTTGCTAATAAATCAACATGGAAAAGGTTTCCAAGATTTAGGGTAATTGAGTGCTAGGCAGGCAATAAAATGTTCAGCTGTGTGTACTTAACATTGTTAAATTCAAAGTAGCAGTGATAGGAGGTACAGTTTAAAATAATACCCAGTATGTCTATTTTGATTGAGGAATTTATTTTTTATTTAATAATTGTCAAAGAATTATTCTTTTTATCCCAGAAATCAGAAAATGGGATAAAGTACCTTGATTTCTTCCTTAATTTGTGTTGCCTCTGGGAAATCAAACTTGGCCCTCGAAAGATGAGAGCCCTTCACAAATAGAGCACGTAAGTAGGCGATGATAAGGATACTAAAGAAAACATTAACCAGGTCGATATGTAGTAGTAAGTGTAAGTAGAATTACTTCAGAACGAGTTGAAAATTATTGATTAATTACCGGTTTTGTTTCTTCTCACCAAAAGGTAGCACGTGATTATTTGTTTAGGAAAGTTAGCGTCCATATTGTTGTTTGGAAACACATAACTAATTGAGTTCGGAAGTTGATTGATTGTTCTACAAACGTAGGATTTACGTAAGAAAGTTTTCCTTTAGTAATATGCGTAACATTTTGTTATAATTGTTATCCAAGTAAATCTACATAATATACTAATATTATAGAGCTGAAAAGTTTGTTTAATAAGCAAATACTTGAACGCGCTAATCCGCGAAAAATTCATTTTATGTTTCCAATTATTTCCATTATCAAGCCTATTTATCAATAAAGGCACATTACATAATGTCGCAAACACGGGAAATATTTTTCAAACTATTTCCACGCGTACGAACTCACGGGCACAGCTATTTAATAATAATTTTCAAAGTCGCTCTTGAGATTTCTATGTAGTAACCTAGCCCGACAGCCCGTATAATCGGGCACAATCTGGCACAATTTGGGTAATAATTGCTCGGCAACACGCATAAATCTTGAAGCAATTACTGGTAATCTGGAGCTAGACCAGTAAATTAATTCTAAAATATATCTGTAATTGCTCTAGATTAATCTGAAAATATTGTCTGAACAAATTACTCATAAAACCGTATCTATTTTTTTTTCTGACTAAATAAACGAGAAGAACCTGGATGCGGATCGGTCGTTATGGATATCCTTGGGGGAGGTCTTTGTCCAACAGTGGACGTCATTTTGCTGAAACGAAAATAAATAGGTGATCCTTCAAAAGAAGTACTCGTACCTACTTACAATCCAATCTGAAATTATTCATACGAATTGAAAGTATCCTATATTGCGAATGTCAAAGGCTACACAGGACACATTTTCTGAGGGATCTAAATAATATCTTTCTTTGAAAAAGGAAAACCAGCCGCAGGCAGAGGAAATAAATTGAACAACTTTATATTATTATTATCTAGTAGCGACATAACTATAGTAGGTATAATATAATAATATGTTGGTACGTTATATTATGAACTTGGTTTTCAGGGTAGAAAGAGACAAAAATCAGGCTAGTTCTCTCAGACTACACGTCAATATTGAGGTTCGGTATGCGAGTAAGTCACCCCTGTCTCAATCTGTGACCACTACACTAAGTGTTCAACACGAATTGCCCAGTGCTGGGATCTTCAGAGGATTGGAGGTAAGTTCTTTGTTGTTTCTTATGCTCAGAACCTACCTATATGTTATAAATAAACAACTCGAAAAAATCCTTTCGCTTGCCGGGCGACTGCTCTTTCAACTGAGCTACTTTCCCCTATATGTAATTTTGAATGGTGTTTTGAGGGTAGTAGTAGTATTATTTCAGCCATAGGTCGTCCACTGCTGAACATAGGCGTCCCCCGATGATTTCCATGTTGATCGGTTGGTAGCGACCTGCATCCAACCATACCTATCTAGCTACGGTAAAATAGCAGAGAATGTTGAGTGATTTTGACCAATCATAATTCTGCTAAAATATTTAATTTCATTTACTTACTCGTATTTTTCAAGTGGTTCTTATACAATGTTCCAGATATGGGGCGGCGTGTTAGGCACACTCCTGTCACTGTACGCGATAGTGCAGTGGCGCGGAGAGATGCGTAGGGGTGGCCTACATTTCTCCTTTGTGCCGCTGATGGCTGGCTCCATTTCTGATGCACTATATTTCGTAAGTAAGACAGTAACTACCTATAGATTAATATAAGATGTTACTTTACTTACTTAAAAGTGTATTTCGGTCTGTCATAGAGTCTTTATCGCATTATTAACATTTGCCTTTATTAACATTAGCAAGTGTTTAAATAATTTCTATTGTTATTTTACCATAGTAGTCAACTATCTAAAATGCCAGATTTCATCAACATCGTCATATAAGCGTGAAATTTAATCAAACATTAATCTTAAAAAAAAAACACAATAATAATTATACTACGTACGAGTACTTTACCTACTTACGGTGTTTTTTTTAAAGGTACTTTTGTGTTATCTCTACTTTAAAAAATCTTATTGCAAAAGAAGATGAAATAACACCTAAAATGTATTCTTTTTTATTTGACGCTCGTTAATCGCAGATAAGTTCATCAGATTCCACTGTCTAGTCCCCTGGGAAATTTAAAAAGGCTTTGAATAAAAGATAGAGCGAGGCAAAATGAAAATTGGATAATTATGCAATCATAAAACGCTTCAAGGTATTTGAAGAAAGATTCTCTGAGATAGAACTCAGTTTACAGAACAAATTAAATGGTAATAAGATCTTTTATGCAGTTTTAATAGTTTTGTATTGTTTCATTGCTTCAAATGATAATTTACGTAAATTTAATTTGGGGCGTAGATAGAAAATGTTATTGAAATACAAACTATAAAATTACCTTTACCAATTTCTTTAACATATTTTTTAAGACCCACGGAAAGTGGTTTAAAATAATATCTTTAGACAATTTCACACAGCGCCACCTAGCCTCAAAGTAAAAAAAAATATCATAGTTTTTAGAAGGGACAGTGTGCGATAAAAACTTTCTGTGGCAGACCAAAATAACTAGGCAAAAGCAAGTAATTTAATAATATATGATGTTATTTTGTCACTCAAGCCATATAATCGTGTTGAAAGAAAGCAAATCTTAATAGAACTAGTTTTTTTTGCAGGCAGCCTGGTTTTCAACTCTACACGCTCTCGCCGCGGAGGCATCCCTCGGCATGACTCTACCCTTGTCGAGATCTGAAGAGAGGGTGATTAGGGCCTTTGTGTACTCCGCCGTTTCGTTAAAGGTACAATCAGTTTAGTTGGTAAGGCCCCTCACCCACGGCGACTTTTTGTAGCGATACTGTCGCGCATTCGCATCGATACAGTCGATATTCGGTCGCTAGCTGTGTGCCCTCGCCTACATAAACGCGCTTCTGTCGCGATAAAAACGCAATACTGTCGCGCTTCTATCTCGATGCAAACGCGATTCAGTAACCCTCGCGTTCTCACCCCGATGTCGTCCGACACGGTCGCGCGTTTGCATCGATACAGTGATACAGTCGAGCTGCTGTAGCGCGTTGACATCGCATCTGTAGTGCTTTTCAAATTCTACTAAAGGTAGCATTTCGAACTAAGCGTCACAGACGCAGCGTCTTTACCTTTGGTCTTTAGTACCACCAACGCCGCGTCACTAACGCTGCGACAGTGTCGCCGCTGCGTTCGAATGACGTTCTCTAGAATTTCATACATTTGCATAGAACATCTACATCTATTTGTCGCGGGGTCACAGTCGTGGCGCCACTGACTCTTTAGACGCTCGCTTCGAAAGGCTACCTTTAACGCGCGTTATTTCACCACAAAAAGTCGCCGTGGGCGAGGGCCCTAAAGCTTTCGTACCATTAATACAAAGGATTTATCATTTGATCGTGCGCTAAAATGATTAATATTTTGTAGGCCATCAAGGTAGTCTGGCTAAATTGGAAACAATGTAGATGTGATATTTTCTTCCTTGACTGGTCGGAGTATAATATAACACATAAAGGTAGGTTTTTTACATTCATTTACACCTCATACCACCACAATAGTTGAGCGGCGGTGGGGACTGAACCCGCGTTCTCCGGATCACGAGTCGGTCAGTCCGACCCCTTCACCGTTCGACTATCGTGGCTTCAAATTGCCCATAACTTTGTTTATTAACAATATTGCCGAATTATAAATTCTTTATTAATCTTAAACAATTTACAATCTAGAGTTAGTCCATTAAAAAAAATATTACAGATGCCAATGTCACTAACGATGACGGTAGTTGGAGAGTGACGACTCTAGCGAGAGAGTGGAATCGCTTGCAGGCGCAGAGGAGAGCGCCTCCGAGCTATGTCGTTACTTTAGCTCTCCTTATTCTGCAGGTAATTTGACATGCAACGACCTACCCTACCCTAAATTTTGAATTGTGCCTACCTTAACTAACACGAACGTATAATACATGGTGACTTGGAATTAGAGCATAATCTTGTAATCATTTGCAACATTTTTGCATATGGACAGTGGACACTTATACATATGCAAACGTGAACTATTGAAACATTTTTTGGAAAAATCCTAGGTAAAAATACTTAAAAACAACTAGAGGAGCAAGGAAAACACTCAAAAACACTGATTCTTTTACTTTATTGTTTCATATCAAAGGTCTAATTATTTATCAGATATGATTTTACAAATGATCTGCAGGTACTATAACCCCTTACAAGATTATGCACTAATAACCTACCCTTTCAAAAAAAGTAATATCAAAATCTATTAATAACTCTTTAGCTCATAAACCCATGGCAAGCCTATCTGCCTGCAAGCAAAGGCTACCGATGGGCAGTCACGAGCATCGCATGGGTTTCTTCCTACGTCCTGCTGATGGGGCTACGGTGGACCCTGGATAAAGCAGCTGGAGCCCCGTCAGCTGTTTTGACGAGGGTGTGCAGGGGCACTGGCATGTCATTGCTAGTCTTTCAAGAAGAATACTACGCGCATTATGTGCATGGCAGGTGAGATATATTAAAGTGAGAATTAGTATTAGTTATTAGGGAAGTTAATAGGACATACTTTTGCCGTTCTATTTAATTTTCTACTATGCTGAGAAAAATAAGTAGGTACATATTTTTCACTTTTACGGTTTACCTATCCGTAGTTTATTTGTTACATAAACCCTATTAACATTGACACCGAACTATGTTACGTTCCCTAGTGATTTGAATGGATTTAACTGTGATTTGAAATTGAAATAATGTTCTACAAGTACCTATCTTCGTTTCAATAGAATTTTATAAAACTTATACAGAATGGAAAAGTTTTTTGGCGTGAATAATCTGCCTTCGGATCATGATTTTATTATTAAGACGAAGAATTAACAACATCGTAGTTGAGTCAGCGTAGTATAGTCGTAACTATGTCGTAGCAACAAACCTAGTAAAGTCGTAGAAAACGTAGCATGGATCGTAGCAAACACTGCAAAGGTCGTAGCAATCGTAGCAAATGTCGTAGCAAACGCAGCAAGGTTCGTAGAATACGCAGCAAAGATCGTAGCATACGTAGCAAAGGTCGTAGCAGTCGTAGCAAATCTTGGTAATATCGTAGCCGTAGCTCACATTAAAATGCTATTATAAAAACCAACGATAAATCACAAATCTCAATTGTTACAAAAACTTTATTAATTATTTCAAAATTACTTTCTCATTCATTTCATGTTATTTATAGGAACGATGACAACAAAGACCTCAGATTAATGGCTGGACCTCTCGCGATGTGTCGCGTTGTCATGGCTCCCCAATTAAGGTAATAATTAATTATTCAGAGAACGTTACGTTACGGAATAAAATATCTAAACACTATTTATGACTGCTAATTTATTATTAATTTCAGGATTGTGTATAAGCAACTATCTTCTCCTGGGCTGGGTATGTCAATTATTTGGATTCTTTATCTATTGTGCCATATAATTGCTGTGTTATTTATTTCACAGATGACTTGGGCAATATCGATGCGCGACGAGTTGTTTTGACAAGGCTTTTAGCTGCCTTCTTCGAAAGAGTAAGTTCAATGACTCCGAATAAACACCTTTTGTTTCTATTGATGTCAAATATTCAGTTATTCACTCCTTGAATAAGTGTTTCAAACAATATTGGACACAGAAATAGGTCTGAAAGATACCTATATCAATCTCAATAAAGCGATTCAATATTTATTTGTAAATAGACAATACATTGCTTGTATGTACGACCTTACGAGTACAATACATTCAATACTTACAATATAAAATACACGAATACATATAAAATCTGCTGAAACTGTTGTTATAACAAGATTTATTCATACGTTTTTTAAGTAAAAAAGTATTTATTTCTAAGACCACCGACTTTCAGTTGGCTGATAGTTGGGTCGGGCTGTTAATCAGTATGGACATTTATGAAAGTGCGCACATTACACCGATTTGGCATCGGCTGATTCTTCATACAAATTAATATCGGGCCCAACTAAGTATCGGCCGACTAAAAGTCGGTGGTCTGCGTATAGGCTAAAAGATGTAACATGTACAATTTTATTCTGGCGGTCTCTGCACTAATCAAGAAAACTTGTATTGTAATTTAATTATTTAGGTAGCTTTTAATGATGGCAGGCCCTAGACGGCCTCAACTGGGTGGCTAGTGAAAGGACGGTGCCAGAGCGACTGATGGACGTAGAGCTGACGGAGCGGGAGGCAGGCACCACCAGCGTTCTCCTCTATGATCCTGGGGACTCAGCTCCGTCGTGTATGGCAGTCACTTGGTAAACAACTAGCCATAACATAATGCTGTTTATGGGCCTGTTTAAAAAGCATTTTTTTTCCGAATAGTACTTTTCTTGATTACTTGTTGGACTCTACAAAACAATATTTGCGTGCCAACTGTGTTCTTTGCTTTAAAAAAGAATGTTATTTTATGATGTAATGATTTGAAAGGCTTGATTTTAATCATTAAAAAATATTTAATAGCAATAAAAATATATCTCTTTAAATAACGTGCTCACAAACGACAATAATGTCTAATTCGTTTTAGGTGGGGCGAGGAATGGAGTTTAGGCACGTTTGATGCTATGCTATTTGGCTGCGTTGTGCTCGCAACGGAAGATCCATTATTAGCAGCCTTTGTTACTTTATTGGCGTGGCAGGTAATAAATAATAATTAATTAGACACTTTGTAATTAATTTCCACAAAAGAGTTTTGCATAAAACATATTTGTTTCCAGATTATGAAAAGAACAAGAACTTGGTTTGGGATCAGAAATCAGATACTAAAAACTAATGTTGATGAAAAGATATAAAAAGTACTAACCAATAAATAAATGAAACGTAAAGCGAATAGCTCCGAGAATAACGCCATTGGTTTCAGTGTGCACGAAAATGAGTGCTTTGATAGCGTATGTAGTAGTGACTACAGTTACAATAATTGGAACTAGGATCAATGGCGGTAGTGGATCAGAAATGGTACAGAAGCCTGCACTAAGGTGCCACTTACAAAGCGAAGTGAGCGATGATGAATCAGATATCGACTGCTCGGTTGGCATGTACGATGATGCCTCTACCACCAAGAGCACAAGCACAACTACCACTGTTAGAGTCATTGTAATACCACGAGGACCATTTTATGACTTCGTAGTAAATATTTGTCAAGCGCTTTTGCATAATTTTCTGGTAGACAAAGTTCGTAGATACTTTATTGTATTAAGCAAAAGTCTGGAAGGATTGGGATCCGGCAGGTTCATGAGGAAAAAAATTGAAAAGTTTTCCGAACATTTTGAAAGATCATCAGACTTAAGAGGTGAGTTGTTAAGAATAAAAGTACAGAACTTCCTCGATATTATATCTAGTGGAAAACCAATGGTAAATGAATTCTTCCAAGCAATGAATGCGATCTATTCTGTTCGCGACGACACCAAAATGGATGATTATATTTATCTTTTGAAAAGATATGGAATGGGTAAAAGCAGGCACATCGGAGACCGAACACGAGAGATTTTCGAAAAAATAATATTTCGCGTTTTTTATAAACAAAAAGATGCAATTCAAGAAGACATCAAGTTAAAATTTCATTCTGCTTACATAGAGTATTTATATGGAAAGGCATAAAAATAGCTTGTGATCACGAACCGTGAAATTATATTTTTACGACTGCAATATTATATTTTATCACAATGTGTTCAGTGTTTAAATGTCTTTGTTTATTCAACATTATTATATTACATCTATCCTTGCTGAATTTAGGAAACGGAGTACAAGTTGAGAAATTAATCGAATCGAAACATAATTTGGCATTTGGTGAGCCGTTAGCGGTACAGAGAGCCGACATAAGATATAATGGTGTATTTGAGAACTTTTTGAGAAATCTTTTCAACCTTCTGACCAAAGGGTTTCCCGAAAGGAAATTAATAAGATACTGTCGAGTTCTGAGCCGTCATTTGGGTGACATGGAGTATAAATATACAAAAATGTTGGCTAAGCGTATGAGACATTTATCTAGAATGTATCGTAAGGATGTGAAGCAAGAGATAGAAGAATATGGAAAGGAGCTAGAAAAGCAAATGCCGATGAGAACTGCGTTTCTGGAAGCTATGAACACAGCGTTTACTTTGAGAGAAAAGGTATTGTTCAACGATTACATATTCGATGTGAGAGATTATGGGAATGAAGACAAACCATTCATTGAAGATGAGACTCGCAAGTTACTCAATATGATACTTGAGAGCGTCTTAAAGCTTAGTCGAACCGATCAAAAAGAGCTGGAGCGTAGGCTGCGTAAAGCTATTAAAGAATATCGAAGAGAAAATATATTATCTTAAACAAATTATGCTATTGCTATGTTTCGTATCGAACTAATAAATTGTTATTAAATTATTTCTTTTAATCATTTAACTTTCTTTTTAATTTTGATGATGGCTCATAGATGAAATATAGCGCAATCAATATTTTTAGAATATTTGTTACCAATACGGCACACCATTACAGGAAACCAAGTGGTTTTGTATGGTGTCAAGTGGAAGCTACTAGACAAAAAACGTCTGCGCGGTGTGGGTGATTTAATTATAATACATAATATTAAAATTAAATATTTACTTAAGTAGTTGTGGCATGTACAAGACACAAATCTGCCCATAATGTCCATTATAAAAATATCAAGATTAGAAATATGAAACAAAACCCATTCTTAATAATAAATACATAGATACTACTTAGGTACTACGCGCAAAATAGCCCAATCAAGAGGCTAAGTGCGGTTTTGATTGCTCTGCTAAACTAACTACCAGTACTACTGCTACTACTTTTAAGTACCTACGTGTAATAAATAAATATATTTTTCTTCAATTATTCAGACTTTTTTTTTCCTCCTTCTCCTTTCCTCTTTCTCCTCATCAATTAAAAATACGTAATAACTTACATAAATTATCTTATGCACAATCATCTGCTTACTTTTACTTACTAGGTATATACCTTGTTTTTAAACATAATTATTGTTTTTGTACGCTTTTCAATGCGCAACAATAAGAAAATAAGAACAATTTATCAATGAACACGCAAAAAGAACATTTTCCACAGACGCATTTTTTTTTTTTTTTTTTTTTTTTTTTTTTTTTTTTTTTTTTGTTAAATTTAGTTTTGAAGAACCATGGCTTCAACGGAATTGTTGGTTGAATTTTAAAAAATGTTCTCCCTTTAGTTACACTACTATCCTCCCATTCTTCTTGCCATTTCTGTATATATTGTAGTTTAGGTAACGTCACTAAGTCGTGAGAATAATTCAGATAGGGGAACAAGTCTCCACAATGCACTGCCTCATTTGCTAGCCGATCAGATATTTCATTTCCCCTGATGTTTCTGTGACTGGGAATCCAAGCAAAATGTACAGTAAGTCCTTTCAAAAAACAATCATAAAGAGCACTTCTAATTTGGTATATTATTGGAAATTGTGTTTTAGTTTTAAATGGGAACCTTTCTAGAGCTTGTAAGGCACTTTTTGAGTCTGTAAAGACAACAGATTTTTTTAGTTTTGTTATTGTAATATATTCCACGGCTTTAAATAGTCCAAAACATTCTCCAGTGAATATGGTGGATTCAGGAGGTAATTTAATTTTTTGAACAATGTTGTACTGTGAATGATAAACTCCAACGCCAGTGCAGGTATCAACAGAATGTTTGGAGCCATCGGTGTAAATATGGTGGAAATCATTGAATTCTGAATCAACAATTAAGTTGAAATAATAAACTGCATTTCTGTCTGATTTTTCAATAGGGAGATAGTGTATAATTGGCGGAGTTATGCGTAATATTTTTAATTTTATTATGTTTTTTTGCTGCCGGACTTGGGGGGGATTCCGAAATGGTAGGTGTAGGGGGCAGATCGCAGGCACAATCATTTTCCTTTACTTCTTGTCCAATATGTTTCCTTTTACGTTTGTTACAATTTTTACATTTGTGAACTCTGCAGCGTTTTCTAGCTGTAGTTGCAGGAGAACCATCCGTGTCCATAGCTGACTCATTGGAAATAGCCACCATTGGGCCTAAAAGGGGAGCAAAAGTATTCGCATCTACAGGGATAGTCACAAAGTGGCCCGCCGGGGGAGCCTCCCCCGGGTCAGGCGGCTCGTTCATCTTGACGACTAAATAGTTTTAAAGACTTACCAATATACAGCAATTATACACTAACTACACAATATATATATAATCAAGTAAATATAAACACTAATTACACCTCTTCTGATCACTACAACAGATAAATTTTAATTTTAAAGCTAAGAGAAACAAAAACGCGCCCGACCAGTTTAACGTTTCCCGCGCTTTTTTCACAGACGCATTTATTCCCATCCCAGAAACTCCGTCTACGAAATTTTCGCAAAAACTTTTGATTCTTTCCCGCGTTAAAACCATAGACAATTTTATTTTATTTTAAAGGAATGGCATTCTCGCGATGTATTAATGAAAAAAACCGGTAAAGTTAAAACGATGACTGAAAACAGACTGATCAAGCATAGAAAATATTTTTATTCTAGCAACACTAATGACATCGATGAACAAATGAAATACGGCAACGTCACGCACGAAGTGGTGAACCAAAGTGATTGTTCATTCGGCGTTTCAAAAATTGTAAATTCACGGATTGTAACTATAATTTTTAGTAAAAATGGCAGACAATAAAAGGTAAGAGTATTACAGTGTATGTTTTTGTTTTATAATTCGCGGAGATGCTTTATTTGGCATCGTTTTGTGGTATTACTCTGCAAGCTATAGTTTGAAAAATTGGCTTGTCATCATGTCTGAGATATTGAAACCGAGTACATATTACAAAAGAATGATTATTTTAACTCTATACAGATCTTTATTGCTTAGTTTCCTTGATATATGGTGCAAAAGAGTTTGGTGAATGTAGATTTTCTTAAAAACTTGAAGATGCAGCCGTATTTTTTACATGTTTGGTTGTGTGTAGCCCTGATGATCTCTCGACCGCGATCCTGCGCCGCAAGGACAGGCCCAACAGGCTCATCGTGGAGGAGGCGGTCAGCGACGACAACTCGGTGGTCGCGTTATCACAGGTAGGGCTCCGGTCATTGTCCCCACTCCACCTTCAGCAAATGCTAATGGCATCAATCACCATAGACACCCATTAGATTTACAAATCGTTTTAATCTCTATCAAAATGTATAATTTTTTCATGCTAAGTAATAATTTCTATCAAACAGTTGTATGAAATCCTTTGTTAGTTCCATAGTAACAATGGAACATTGTTTAGAGTTAAGTACCTTCTAGTTTTTTGCTGATAATACTCTATGAAAGTACATTTCTGGGCTGAATTTGAAATATTGGCTTAAAAAGGTGCAATTAAAGCGAGAATTAACGGTTAACTTGCACAACTATGTTGCTGTTTTCAAAGCAAAACAAATTGAGCAAATACATAGTAAAATAATGACAGTCATTCTAACCTAAAAAAAGAACTCAATAGTAAACTGTACAGTTACTACCACAAGTAAAATTCCACTCAACATCAATAAAGAACTTGCTGTAATGTCTGGAATTATTTCATCACTGATTCTGAGTATTAATTAAAAAATTTCAACTATTATGGTATTCGCAAATATGCTGAAATGCAATGCATTTGTACTGAAATCATGATTAGTTATTATCAGAATGTTCATCAAAACTTTCCAATTATTACAATCAGATATTGGGGTATTCCCCTGAAAACAATGTAGCTGGTAAGGTAAAAATAATGAAATGAACTGTTGCAAAGTATTGAATGATTTTGCCATACATTTTTAATTTAATTTAACTTATTACAGCAGTCCCAACACAAAATAAACTTAGTTTTATTATTTATAGCTTCGTAAAATCCTGAAATACACATCTAAAAAATATCAAAAGAAGGAATCATACCAGAACCTTATTCATCTGTTGGGAAATAAAACAAGAACAATAGCTTTAATGTATTACTATTTATACAACTACAGGCCAAAATGGAGCAGCTACAACTATTCCGTGGAGACACAGTGCTACTCAAAGGCAAGAGACGTAAGGAAACTGTCTGCATCGTCCTGTCAGACGACAACTGCCCCGATGAGAAGATCCGCATGAACCGTGTGGTTAGGAACAACCTGCGAGTCAGGCTGTCAGACGTGGTGTCCATAGCACCGTGCCCATCTGTCAAGTACGGCAAGCGAGTGCACATACTGCCCATCGATGATTCTGTTGAAGGTTTGACTGGGTGAGTTACAATATTTTATTGCAGAGTAGCTAAGGTCACTAAAAGATTGATTGGTTGGTCCCATAAGAACAAAATAAAATATTCTGTAAAAATGGTTAATGATTCATCATCTAAAACAGTGTGTCACCATGAAGCCATATAAAAGTATGATGAAATATCAAATTGAATTGCAAAAAATTGAATTGCAAAATATCATAATTTTTTATTAATTTTTCTCTGGAAATAAACTTGCTACAACAATTTGTAAAAGTTGAAATTAATTTTATTGCATTATAATGACCTGACGTTATTACTTAATAGCCTCATCTCTCAGGTTTGATTGCATGTAATTATTTTTTAATTGATATTTAATTTGATTACTTTCAAAGAATCTTAAAGCAGAAAAAAATTTTTTGTCACCACTTTTTTACTATTACTACCGATAAATCACCACAGTTTTAGATGATGTTAATGCAAAATGTTAGATTCTCAACGCCACCATTCTTCCGCAGAAACCTGTTCGAAGTGTACCTGAAGCCTTACTTCATGGAGGCATACAGGCCCATCCACCGTGACGACACCTTCATGGTGCGTGGAGGCATGCGAGCGGTGGAGTTCAAAGTGGTGGAGACCGACCCCTCTCCTTACTGCATCGTGGCACCTGATACGGTCATACATTGCGAGGGAGAGCCCATCAAGCGTGAGGTAATTATTTCCAACTATTTAGCAATTTGTTTAGACGAGTCTGTTTTTTATCATCATGAATGTGTTTAAGTCTTCAATTATTATTATAGATACTCTTTATTGCACACCACACAAGAAATCTACAAAACAGCCATTTGTCTGATATCAACTAAACGTCTTATAAACAATATTACATTTGAGCCATACATTACACAACATTTGTATGTGCCAAATCAAAGAGCATAAATACATAAATATCTAGTTGACATTTGAATATTTCAGCATTTTTTAATATTAGATTATCTACCATTTATAAAATTCTGACTGCAATGTCAAGTCAAGGTTAAATTATTTTCACTATGCAAACACTCAGTGAATTTCCCTGCAACATGAGACATACTGAGGAGCTGCCATTTTGATTTAAACTACTAACTTACATATTTTATTGTTCACTGCAATCTGATCAATTTCTCTCTTTCTAAACTTCTCATCCTACTAGTCCAGTCATTTCGTCCGAAAAAAAGGCAAATAAAAGAAAATGAATTTGCGCTTCTAATTTTTTAATATGTTGTAGGGGATACCTAGAAAAGCTTAACTTGAGATTGTCGACCAAGCTTTCCTAGGAGCTTTCGCCGCCATCTTGGAAAACGCTTAAAATTTGTTTTTCGGCAATAACTCGGCTATCCGATGAGATTCGAAAATTTTTGTAGGACACTTTTTGTAGCTTTCTTTGTGCTCTACAATAACGCCCGAACCATTTTTAGCGTATCATGCATCGTTATCGAGATATCGATCGATAAAGTCAAAAATTTTGGACACAATTTTTGTTTTTTTCTTTTTTTTTCAGGTCTAAATAAATATGAAAAATTCCGAAATAATTAAATAATTAATTAAAAAGTAAAATTTAATTACTTTTAATTACTTTTTTTTAAGTAACGGCAAAGCATTTGTATTAGTTGGTTCTTGTTTTGATCCCTTGTGAGAAACTTCTCCTGGCTAACTTTTGGAGTAGTTGTCTCATCGAATGTGAACTCCGGCGATTGGTTTTTTCTCGAACGTCGTACTCTTTCCGAAGTTTTCGTTCCAGCGAGTGTCATATCAGTCGGATAACCGTCGAATATGATTGCAACTTTTCCTTCGAAGTTATGTTGTACGTATCTGACGTTAATTATTTAATTATTCCGAAATAATTTGTGTCCAAAATTTTTGACTTTATCGATCGATATCTCGATAACGATGCATGATACGCTAAAAATGGTTCGGGCGTTATTGTAGAGCAGAAAGAAAGCTACAAAAAGTGTCCTACAAAAATTTTCGAGTCTCATCGGATAGCCGAGTTATTGCCAAAAAACAAATTTTACCCCCTTTTTCAACATGGCGGCGAAAGCTCCTAGGAAAGCTTGGTCGACAATCTCAAGTTAAGCTTTTCTAGGTATCCCCTACAACATATTAAAAAATTAGAAGCGCAAATTCATTTTCTTTTTTGAATGTACGTAATGACTGGACTATACTTGCTACTATTCTACTAATATTAGAAATGCGAAAGTTTGGATGTCTAAATGTTTGTTACTCTTTCACGCAAAAACTACTGAACGGATTTTGATGAATTATTGTTTATAACCCAGATTAACATATTATATAGGCTTTATTTTATGACGATATGAGACAAACTAAAATTCACACGGGTGAAGCCGTGGGCAAAAATTACTAATATGCAGAAGAGGAGTCATTGAACACCAATTGACAAACCAAATAAACAACATTCCTCCCTTCCTAAACTTCTCTGTCTCTTTCCACCACCAACAGGAAGAAGAAGAAGCATTGAACGCTGTGGGTTACGACGACATCGGCGGCTGCCGCAAGCAGCTGGCTCAGATCAAAGAGATGGTGGAGCTGCCTCTGCGGCACCCGTCGCTGTTCAAGGCCATCGGCGTGAAGCCACCGCGCGGCATCCTCATGTACGGCCCGCCTGGTACCGGGAAGACGCTGATCGCACGTGCTGTCGCTAATGAGACCGGTGAGTAACTAAGGCTCGGCGCAAATGGGCTACCGACCACAGCCACCGGTGGCTGTCGCGCGCTACCGCCACATTTCTAAGTGTCAGAAGCGAGTGACAGCCACCAGTGTCTGGAAGCCGCCACATTTTATAACCCGCTCGTTGCTAAATATTCGGAATAGGTATTTGGATTAAATATTTTAATTCAACTCATCGAGCGGGGGGTGAAGTAGTGCGACAGTGGCGGGTGTCGGCGTTTTGTGTGGCATGTAGTGACCACTAGTGGCGAGTCGCAGACACTACTGTAGCGAGTGGCCGCCACCGGATACACGTGTGCGCGCGTCTATACAAAATATGTTAAAAAGTGTGTTAAGCCGCTGGCCTTTTGTGGTTGTGCCGACACTAACTTTGACGATAGAGACTTGACTTAGGTACTATGACCTCTAGATGGGGCAGAGGGCGTCCACAATATTCCTCCATCGCGTTCGGTCTTGAACTTCGCGTTTGATTTCACTAAAGGCTGATTTACACGTATTAAGTAGTTAATTAGGTAAATAAATTTTAAGTCTATGTCAAAACATATTTAACGTGTAAATTAGCCTTTAGTCTTGCCGATTTTCTTCACCTCGTCTGCTACAGTGCGCCGCTAAGTTAGCTTGGGGCAACCACGTTTGACGATGGAGAGATCGACACTATTCCCACCTCTCGTTCCCACCACCACAACTTCTATGTTGCAGCCAGGTTCTATAAAAATTATAGGGCTACCTAATATTTAAAAAAAAACTGAAATGTCGCTTTCTCATTTTAATTCTTATATGGTTGACATAGATAGAGTAAGCCTTAGATTACAAGCTCTTAAAGTTTTATGAATCCACTAGTGGTTATCTTCAACATCGTTTGACGAAGATTGCTGTGAAATAAAACACTAGTCCTGATATAAATGACTCTTTTTAATAGTTCGAGATATTGATGCTGGGTTATAATAAAATGTGACCTACTTTGACGCTATCGTACTATCACTTGCGCCTCTGAAAGTACTCTGATAAGGAGAGTGAACATAAATGTGTCATTGCAAAAGTTGAATGTATCACAAAAGGGTTAATTTCTTATTGTTGGCATGGATATTGGATGTAGATAAAATCGTAACAACATAAAAGACAGGAAAATTTCCAATATAGTAATACTAGCGGCCGGTGAATACCGATTTACCCCCCTTAGGGGTGGAGTTTCGTAAAATCCGTTCTTAGTAAGCACCTACGTTCTAAAAGGAACCCCCATACAAAATTTGAGACTCCTAGCACTTGTAGTTTCTGAGATTTCGTGATGAGTGAGTCAGTCGATCAGTGACCTTTCGCTTTTATAGATATAGATTTCAGACTAAAGATAGTTGTTGCAAAATAACATCTATGACAAATACATATTGGTTATGGTTGATTTGCTGCTGGTTCTGAAAATAAATGCGCCTTAGCAACTAATCTCTCACTCAAGGTAAGAGTGCAAGGTGAATCCCAATTTGAATTCTTTATACATTACCATTTGTCTCTAAAAAAACAAAGATATAGTATGAGTTGCTAAAAACCTACTTATACTAAAAAAATGTTTGCTTGATTATGCCGAATGGAGTCACTGACTGCCTCACTCTTTTTTTAAACTGGTTGCTCACTGGCAAACAACTTTTTCTTCCTGCATGGAATACATTCATTGGAGGAGGATAGGATTCCTAATGGAGGTATTATTTTAATTATTAAGGAAAAGAATAGCCAAATTATTGTGCACAATACATTAGCCTTAATAATTTCCACTGCTTATGTTCACCTCTATTATATCAACTTTAATTAACTATACTGTACGACGATCATGGGCCAAACAGTGATACCGACTACTGACTTAAAATACCTACATCAGAAGTGGTCACGGCTAGGTTTCGTCAGTAAGCAGTAGTTCTTGGGTCTAATAAATTCGGCCAACCCTGACCTACATAATATTGTTACCTGTGTTCCAAAAATAAATAATTCTTACTTTTCCCAGGCGCATTCTTCTTCCTAATCAACGGTCCGGAGATCATGTCGAAACTGGCCGGTGAATCGGAGTCCAACCTGCGTAAGGCGTTCGAGGAGGCTGACAAGAACTCTCCAGCCATCATCTTCATCGATGAGCTGGACGCCATCGCTCCGAAGAGAGAGAAAACCCATGGGGAGGTGGAGCGACGCATCGTGTCGCAGCTGCTGACTTTGATGGACGGTGAGTTAAGCTATGTATTCATTAGGCAACATTTGTTGATAAACACTGTTTTTAAACAATGTTTCATCATGTCTGTAAACAGTTTATAAATAGTCCATAAACATAGGTGATGAAACATTGTTCATGATACATGTTGCCAATGTCTCCGCTATGAGTGGAGAGCAAGTGTGGACGGCCAAGTTTCAGAAACCTGTGTTTATGTTAAACTTGTTTCACACTAGTCATAAACAGTTTATCAACAAACATTGCCTAATGAATACGTGGATTTAAGATTAATTTTCTGTTTACAAAATGCATTAGGATATCTTTGTTTATTTTCTTTTTCTGGTCAGTGGGAACATCAGAATGCCTTTTGGCATTGAGTTCGTTTTTCGTACCGATTTTTGTGGCATCTATATATATAAAAGAAAGTCGTGTTAGTTACTCCACTTATAACTCAAGAACGGCTGAACCGATTTAGCTGAAAATTGTCAGGGAGGTAGTTTAGAGCCAGGAAAAGGACATAGGATACTTTTTATCCCGTTCGAAATAAAAAAAAGTCTGCTTATTTATTGCCATTAAGGCGGAACAAAGTTCGCCGGGTCAGCTAGTTAAAGAATAAATAAGATAATATTTTACAACACATATCCTACGGTTTGGGTGTACTCTCTGTCCTCCAGTGCATCTTACTTTATATTACAATACACAATGTGCTTCCAAAGTAAAACACATGAAAAATATTTTCCAGATCATTACTTGAAAAGCAAGACTTCTTATTAGAATGAAATTCAAGATTTTAAATTCTGTCTTGAGCTAAAAATAAGCTGAATACAGGAGTATTTATTACAAAAAATAACCAAAATTATAACGCATTTATTTCACGTGTCAGGCATGAAAAAGTCGTCCCACGTGATCGTAATGGCGGCGACCAACCGTCCGAATTCTATCGACCCGGCGCTGCGCCGTTTCGGACGCTTCGACCGCGAGATCGATATCGGCATCCCGGACGCCACCGGACGCCTGGAGATCCTCCGCATTCATACTAAGAACATGAAGCTGGGTGATGACGTCGATTTGGAACAGGTGAGTGAAAAAACGAACAGTTCACTCTATGATCATCCAAAACCTAAGCAGTATTTATTTATAAAAGGCACTTCAAAATTTGTCTACATAACAGCCCATGCAATCCAAAATATACCAACATTCCACAGCGTAATAACTTTGCGCATATACACTGGCCAATGGGGACAGTCAGTGGGTTATGTGGGACTCTCCTACCCACAAAAACCTGACGGAGTCCTCCGAGAGCATTGAACTAATGCTACTATTGGATATTTGTCCGCGGCTCTAATGCATGCTCCCTAGCCCTTATATTTGATTGTCATTCTTTAAGGTGTGTATATTGTAAGGCTAACTCTTCACGAGTCAGCCTTTCGATGTTGAAACGCATTTGCCTCTTGACTTGACTTAATCAAACGACTTTAAAAATTGAAACTTTGTTCATAATTGTTATTTTTAAGTGCACATGTTGTTATGTAACAATGTAGGTAGACCTAATAAATAAATAAATAAACGAGCAAACTTGCGGGCAGCCTCGCAATGTCGATACACGCCTTAATCATAGTTGCCTTGCGAGCGTTTTGTGCGCGTGAAGTATCATATCTGGATTTCATTATCATTATTTTAGCAACAAGACGTCCACTGCTAAACATAGGCCTTCCGTTACGATTTTCAGACAGTCTGGTTCATAGCGGCCTGTATCCAGTGCCTTCCTGCAACCTTTATAAGATCGTCTTTTTACCTTGATTTGATAAATTAATTGATTAAACTTTTTACTCGCAGATCGCGGCCGAGTCTCACGGTCACGTGGGCGCGGATCTCGCGTCTCTGTGCTCGGAGGCGGCTCTGCAGCAGATCCGCGAGAAGATGGACCTCATCGACCTCGAAGATGACCAGATCGACGCTGAGGTGCTTAACTCGCTCGCCGTGTCCATGGACAACTTCCGGGTGAGTGTGACGTCATTGCCAGGTCATTAGTCTATGTTATTATGTAGTTACTTATGGAGGGAGTAAGTGGAGGATCAAGCCTACACTTCCCCATGCTGGTAGTATACTCGTCGACTTTTTTATCGGCGGCACGACATCAGCAACTTTTGGCAGTTGCTATCAACTCTCAACGCGACAGTCACTATGAACGTGTATATTGTTGATGTGAGTTGTATTTTTTTAATGTTGGTGGGTAAATGAGCATAAATACTCTTGCGCTGGCATGCCGCCAGTATGTTGCCACAAGTCGCCGGGCAACATGATTCTTTTGAAAGCCGCCGACTTCACTAATTACAATTTAGTAAATCTTGACTATGTCAGAACCTTTACATGCTTTGTCGAATCAAAACTAAACAAGTATTTGATGAATCTGAACAAAAAATCAAAACAAAATTCAGATTTGACTAATTTGACGTCATCAAAAGTCCATTCTGTATTCCATCATCGTCATAAATATAGATGACCCACGCTGAACTGTCCCACCAAACTCAATGACAGGGGGGCGCTACCATCGTTCAACTATATGGTTTCCAACATGGCAAAAATCGGAACCAGCGATCCGGTATTGACGGTGGCGCCCCACTGTCAATGTCATGCATAGGACAGTTCAGTATTTTGGAACTATACTCAAATTGGTCTGTTGTCCCCAGTACGCGATGACCAAGTCGTCGCCATCGGCTCTGCGCGAGACGGTAGTCGAAGTCCCGAACGTGACGTGGGGCGACATCGGAGGCTTGCAGAGCGTCAAGCGCGAGCTGCAGGAACTTGTGCAGTACCCTGTGGAACACCCCGACAAGTTCCTCAAGTTTGGCATGCAGCCTTCCCGTGGTGTGCTGTTCTACGGACCCCCGGGTTGCGGTTAGTACTTGCTACATATGACTTCAAAACTTCTATAGTCTGGACTGTGAGCACGTAGAATTTTGTCCAATGACCAATAGATGTTGCTGTCGCGCTCGCACACTCACTGCGAGCGCCCGTCGCACAGTCGCGACAGCAATATAATTACGCGCGAGCGATAAAAATGGGTAGCTTGGGTTCATTGGATGAAATTCTATCTGCTCGGCGACCGGACTTTACGTGCCCCCGGGTTGTGGTAAGTAATGATAGCACTTTCAGCTTGATTACTAGGTCATAGGGCTTCCGAAGCTAGCCTGTACTGCTGTCAGTGGACCTTGAGCTTTGTTACCAAAGCATAAGGACCAGATAGCTGCAGGAGCTAGTGCAGTACCCTGTGGAGCACCCCAACAAGTTCCTCAAGTTTGGCATGCAGCCTTCCCGTGGTGTGCTGTTCTACGGACCCCCGGGTTGTGGTGAGTGATGATGGTACTTTCAGCTTTGTTACCAGGGCATAAGGCTGCAGCAGCTAGCCAGTAGACTCTCGAAAAGTTTCCTAATATGGGCTGCGGTCAGTGGACCTTGAGCTTTGTTACAAAGGCATAAAGACCAGATAGCTGCAGGAGCTAGTGCAGTACCCTGTGGAGCACCCCGACAAGTTCCTCAAGTTTGGCATGCAGCCTTCCCATGGTGTGCTGTTCACAGATTTTGAATTTTTACGGTACCTGGATCCATATCTAGGTCTGCATGTGCTGTCCATACAGCACAGGGTCATTTATGGTGGTTGAGACGACAAGAAAGTAGAGAAGAACCGTTGATGATAATAAATTCAGGTCGCTTAGGTCCCCTTTCTGACTTGACGGGTTGGGGAAGGGTGGTGTTTGACATTTGCCCTTGAAACTTCTTTATGACATTCACAAAAAGAATGGGGATGGAAACTGTCAATAAAACTTAAGTGGCATTTGGGGGATTCAGATCAGCATCTCCAAGAGATGATAGATATCTGCTACCAGAATATTTATGTTAACTTTCCTTTGTGCAGGTAAAACTCTGCTGGCTAAGGCCATCGCCAACGAGTGCCAGGCCAATTTCATCTCCGTGAAGGGCCCTGAACTGCTCACAATGTGGTTCGGCGAATCTGAGGCCAACGTGAGAGACATCTTCGACAAGGTACGTGCTCGTTTTAGTATTCAAATACTTGTGTTATGATGAACAAATGTGTGAAAGTTTGAGCTGTAGTGCAAAATCCACCTTTCAGTAAAGATTTATTTACCAAGTTACTGGTAACTGCATCTGCTGATTGAGTGGATTATAGCCCTACAAGTTAAAGTTTCCACTACCTACAGCAGCATTGCCTTTTATGTGACCGTCGATCTTTAGGTCATTTATGGCCGTTTTCACCATCAATCCCTATTTTTTAAGTGACCCCTATGGTAACACTTATACGAGGGCGGCACTGAAAATTTCGGGAATCAAGGAAGTGAAACAACATTACTATTTAAAAATGTATTTATTGCTTTTTAAAGTATTCTCCGCGAAATTTGACACATTTTTCCATACACGAAACCAATCATTGAAGCAACCATTGCATTCGGAAGTTTGGGTCTCCAACATGGCCGTTTTGTAGGCTTCCACAGCTTCTTCAGGTGATGAAAATCTCTGACCACGCAATTTATTCTTTATTTCAGAGCGAATGCGGTATCCATCGGGAAAACAACTTTTTTACACCTAATTGTTCATGCAAGATTATTTGTATTTGACTCATGCCAATGTCTAAAGTTGCCTGAATTTCGCGGTATATCACATGTCGATCTTCTTCAATCAGCTTACGCACAGCATCAACGTTTTCTTAGGTGACTGCAGTTTTTGGACGACCTTGACGGGGATCATCACTGAGCTTGACACGTCCACGTTGAAATTCAGGAAACCAGCGATAAATTGTGGTTTTGGATGGGGCTTCATTACCAAATGCAGAAATCATCCGGTCAACACACTGTTTTTGTGTTAAACCACTTCAAAAGTCATAATAAATCATCGCTCTTGAATTTTCTCGAGTCAATTCCATTTTCTCAACGACTAAACAAGTTTGACAAGACCTTGTGATACGACCGAGAATCTTTTTTTAAATAAATAAATGGTATACGATTTTTAAAACCCTGGACTTTGCAATTAAATAGATTTTAATATGACTGGAACAGTGGAAATATTCCATTCCCGATACTTTTAGTGCAGCCCTCGTAAGGAATTTTGTTATTATCGGAGTTACTTAAAAATTAGGGATTGATGGTGAAAACGGGCATTAGTCTCCACTCTCTAATGCACCAGAGGCAAATGAAGGATATGGCCTACACTTCTGACAGGTTGGGGAGGCCTGATGTTCATTTGTTCTCTAGTCATCTCTTACGACATCCACGAGAAGGGTAGGAGTGGATCCATTCTACTCTGCCGGCACCATGCGGATTGCCTAATCAAAAATTTAGTTAGTGTACACCGACAGGCAGATTAATGTTATATCAACTTAAATCCCTCAATTTGCTTTGTGTCACTTTGTTACAAAACGAACATCCGCAAGCGCGCTTGGTTTTACCGTACGTGTTGTTCTTCGAAACCTGATCAAAAATTAACTCAAAACTAGAAACTATTTCCTTAATTACTTGTAATAAGCACTATTTTACTACAAAACGTGTACATCCACAGGCACGATCGGCGTCACCCTGCGTGCTATTCTTCGACGAGTTGGACTCCATCGCCAAGTCTCGCGGTGGCTCCGTATCGGACGCGGGCGGCGCCGCGGACCGCGTCATCAACCAGATCCTAACTGAGATGGACGGCATGGGCGCTAAGAAGAACGTCTTCATCATCGGTCAGTAGACTGTTTTGGAATATTATAGTTTCTGTTTTATAGTTGGGATGATTATTATTATTATTTTATTATCGCTTAGAACCCCAAGCAGTCACAGGAGACCGCGGTACCATGATTTCTATTGTGTCTCAATTTGCTGGTAGTTGAAGGGGATAAAGCTTTTGCTCTGTATTGTTGTTGAAATACCTGAGGTCATTAGTCTGATGTGATATTGTATATTAGTTATAGTTGGTCATGATCGAAAGTCAAAATCATTCTAAAATCATTATAAGCACGAAATGTTTTGGACAATAGACGACGCCAGCGGGACTAATCGCTCGTTGTCCCTATATTTTCGGCTGGCTTTTGCTAGAATCTCGCAATGAATGAGAGATATGAATAGATTCGAATAAAAATGTCATTCAAGGCATAGAACCAAACTTACGAATCTATCAAAAACCCTTTATTCCCATAATCATAATAATCGCTAACATGAGAAATGGTTGCTTCATTCATAATCTTTCTTCACGTCGCGATATCAATTGACTGGCAATTTGCAGATTTCAAAGGTATAAAAAAAATATTTTCACGAAAGTAACTTACTTTTCAGGGTTAGAATGAAGTTATGTCTTTCTATAATTAGTGTCAAATGCCTAATAGGTGTCAATTTGTTTCCGTAACGATTCCCATATGCCTACAGGTGCTACAAACAGACCCGACATCATCGACCCGGCTATCCTGCGACCGGGCCGCCTGGACCAGCTGATCTACATCCCGCTGCCCGACGAGAAGTCGCGCGAGGCCATCCTGCGCGCCAACTTGCGCAAGTCGCCCATCGCTAAGGACGTCGACCTGTCCTACATCGCCAAGGTAAAGTCACAGCAGCTTATGTAAAGCCTGGTCTAATGACCCCAAACTACCCATCCTTATCGCTCGCGTGTAATTATGTTGCTGTCGCGCTCGCACACTCACTGCGGGCGCCCGTCGCACAGCGCGCAGTCCAATTACGCGCGAGCGATAAGGATGGGTAGCTTGGGGTCATTGGACAAAATTCTACGTGCTCACGGACCAGGCTTTAGTTAGGAGAGTTGATTTTACGTCGACTCAGCTATCCTGCGCGCCAACCTGCGCAAGTCGCCAATCGCTAAGGACGTCGACCTGTCCTACATCGCCAAGGTACGTTATAGTGTTGTGTTAAGGGTGATTTTGCAATAAAAGAAGTTTCTAGCCTGATGTAGACGCGCGATGCATGTCCTACATCCCCAAGGTATGTTATGCAGTTGGGATAGGGTTGATTTTACAATAAAAGTTTGTAGCCTGATGATATGGTCGCATGAGTCCTGTACTACATCGCCAAGGTAACGTGTCTTATGGAGTTGGGATAGGGTTCATTTTACATCGACCCGGCTAACCTGCGACCGGGCCGCCTGGACCAGCTGATCTACATCCCGCTGCCCGACGAGAAGTCGCGCGAGGCCATCCTGCGCGCCAACCTGCGCAAGTCGCCCATCGCTAAGGACGTCGACCTGTCTTACATCGCCAAGGTAAAGTCACAGCAGCTTATGCAGTTGGGATAGGGGTGATTTTACAACAAAAGTTTATACATAGCTTGATGTGGTCGTGCGCAAGTCGCCCATCACTAAGGACGTCGACCTGTCCTACATCGCCAAAGTACCAAATGCAGTTGGAATAAAAGCTATATTGCGACAATAGTTTGTAGTTTATTCTGATGTGATCGCGCGAGGCCATTTTGCGCGCTAACCTGCGCAAGTTCCTCATCGCTAAAGACGTCGACCTGTCATAAGGTATGTTATACAGTTGGGATAGGGGTGATTTTGCAACAACTGATGCGCTTGCGACTGTACTACCTGTCCTACATCGCCAAGGTAACGTGCCTTATGGAGTTGGGATAGGGTACATTTTACATCGACCCGGCTATCCTGCGACCGGGCCGCCTGGACCAGCTGATCTACATCCCGCTGCCTGACGAGAAGAGAGAAGCTAAGTATTTTTCAACTAAATTTTATAGTCTTATGTGCTATACGACTATAAATCGTAATTAATCACGGTGGTACGGCAAGCAAACTGTGGCATTACTGGCATCCTATTTATTAGTCTTTGTGACACATTATTATACAGGGTGAC